CCCCCCTGAAAAGATATCTTAATCCCTCTAGTGGAATGTAAATCACCCTGCGTAAAGTTTTAAATTGTAAAAAGCATTTTTTCAAACCCCTCCAGTGAAAATAAAATCCCTCCGGTTGGTCTCCAGTAGAATCAAAATCTTACTACGAACTTCTTTGAGCCATTTATTCTATTCAGTCGTATAAAACGTAAAAATTTAATTATAATTCGAATTTTTTTAAAATCTTTGAAAAGGAGACCGAGCACATTTTCGTATATTAGGTCTGCTTTTGAAGGTTAAAACGGCAGTTTAGAGAAAATGTTTCATCGACAACTCCCTATTTGTGAACTTTGTACATCCTAGCAGCAGAAGTAGCACTTTTTAGCTTGAACTATATTTAGTTGGCTAAAAATTATTATACATAATTAGAAATTGTAAATGATTCTGAACATTTTTAGATTGTGTAAACAATTACAAACTGTGAACGTTTGTAAACGATATTAGTTCGTTTGTGATTGAACAATTTTAAAAATGTGAACAATGTGAACGATCATTTAATCGTCAAGAGCTTTATGAAAATATTGTAAAGGGTGTTATAAAAATGGTTTTAAGTCACGTCATCCACTTTTCGTATTTTTGCTTACTCTGTCCCGTTCTCTAAAAAACTGGAATTTACTAAAATTAAATCACGATTTTCGGGACTAATTAGAAAATTTGATTAGAATGAATCATTTTGAAAAATAATATAAGCCTTATATAAGAATTTTCTTGCGGAAAATGATAAGTTTTTCGAGTATTAAGGTTTATTTTGGTGTTAAAGATTGGAGATAATCTAATATGATATGGGAAGCTCTGTACCACGCAACAGCGTTAGATTATCATTCAGGGAGGAACAAGAGAGAGGGGGGGGGGGCAAGGATGCTTTGTCCCACTAGAAATAAAGTGTTCCTATTTGAGACCTACAGAGCACTAATAAATGTTTTTCTCATCTTTAACAATTTTCAATAGAAGGAAGGGGGGCAAAACTATTCAAACCCCCCCCCCTTTATTTTATCCTCAAACCCCTATTATTATCATTTTCCATACTGCGTTTATTGTTACAAAAAGATCGAAATTACTAAAATGTTGTTTAAAATTACGCTATCTTTATCCCATTATATTCGTAATATTAAACAAACTCTTAGGTTTATTTCAAATTATCAAGCACTATTAAGTAAAATTAAATGTTCTACGTGATTCCTCTTCTGCTCTTCAACCTCTCCAACTTACAGATGTAGGGTCTTGGAATTAAACGTAGAGTCTCTTTAGACAAATAAAAGTTTGTCATCCCTAGTTGAAAGATAAGTGTCAAGTTGCCATCCCTAGTTGAAAGATAAGTGTCAAGTTGTCATCAAATAAAAATAAAATACTTTTACTACTACTGCGGATCTGATTTTTTTTCTCTTAACATTGTACATATTTTACTCGCAATCTTAAATTGTAAAATAAATGATTTGATTTAATTAAAAGTACCTATTTTTTATTTCTTTTGGGTCATCCGGTACCTATCTTTTATTTTGGGACACTCGGTACCTATTTTTTAGAGATTAGGAAAGCCCAGCCAGCATAAAAATTGTTCCCCGACGGTTGAGTTGATAGATTATTCATCTCCATTCATAAAGATTATGTATACCGCTGACCTAGGGCAAGGAGGGAGGGAACCCCCGCCCGATATGAGCCTCCCAGATTTGCCATGCAGCACCGAGCCTCCACTTTACAGTACAAATTTAACGTTAAAACTTCAAAAGTGTTTAACGCGATAAGGAAGAATTCTAAAAGGAATTCGATTTTTTTAAAGAAGTTGAGTCTTTGCCACAAACTCTAGCTTTCTAATTTCAATATCTTTGCAACCCAATATCGTAAATGTTTTAAATATTTTAAACTATGAATTCTGTTTTTCCAAATAAAATAAATTTAAAATGTCAGAGGCATATAACACCAGCAGGTTGCAAATATATAGAAATTAGAAAGTTTGATTTTTTTGAAAGAATTCAATTCCTTTTGATAATTCTTAAAAACAATAATTTTTCATAATGAGATTTATCTAAACATAAACAATTTACAAAAAAAGAATATCGCTTAAATCAATTATTTTAAAAAATCAAATCGAATTCAATTTGCCTTCTTAATAACAATTCCTTTTCACGTATAAACTTTTGAAGTTTTAGTTTATAACTTGTATTTCATAACGGAGGCTCAGTGCTGGATAACAAATCTGAGAGGCTCGTTGCGGCGGTGGGTTCCCTTCCACCCAGGGTTTACGCTTTCTCTGTTGCTAAGATTTTGTGTATTTTGGTTTAACCAGAGTACACGCCTGAACTCTGGAGAGAGAAGATGTTAACAAATCTATTGTTTTCAGTTTGGTGTTTGCAGTTTTATTCTACATCGGCTTTCTTTATTAGGTACTTGCTCAAGTACCCGGCGTTGCCCATGAAATTAAATTACAAAAGATTTTTTTTTTAAAAATCGAGCTTTTTAGCCTATGTTACCCCCAGTGTACCCATGGGTTCCCTAAAAAAATGTCAGCCAATTTGGTTCAACCGTGTGGTAAACTGTAGCTAACATAAGTATACCTATGAGAGAAGAGCTTTATAATATAGAATTTATTTAAAATTCTGGTCGCTGGTGTTGTAATTTTCATTTCAAGAGAGGAATGCATGATTAACAATAGTACTGTCTAGACCTTTATCCTCTCTATTAATTAACCATTTCAAAAGAGGAATGCAGGATTCACAATAGTACTGTCTAGACCTTTATCCTCTCTATTAATTAACCATTTCAAAAGAGGAATGCAGGATTCACAATAGTACTGTCTAGACCTTTATCCTCTCTATTAATTAACCATTTCAGGCTGAAAAAGTGTTAAATTCATACAATTTCTTGGTGTTTCTAAAGCAAAGATGTGCTAGTAAGTTCTCCGATAAAACAAAATTGAAATTAATCAATTTTCAAAGTTAAAAACATGAATCTTTCATTAGTTCATTATCATACTTAGCTCTTTATGGTACTGTTGTGAATCAGATATGCCACTTGTCTCAATGTAAGGTAATTTTCCTGAGAGTAAACAAAATACCTCTTACAGTGATAACCAGAAAACTCTGGAATAGAGAGTCAACTTTTATGTCTTTAAATAGTCCAATGAACATGAGGCACAGTAAATGTAAGTGTTAACAAACCAATTTCACTTAATTAGTGATTTAATAACTTACTATTTGCTGTATGAAAGCATCAAATGCACTTCAGTATTGGTTTTATGTCGTCTTCCTATTCTACAGTTTTCTGGTTCTTACTTTAGATTCACAGCAAGGCCTCTTTTCTATCATTCAAGTGTCACTTTACAAATGGAAAATAAAACTTTTATCTCAATCTGTTAAATACGGTCCATGCACTTATCATCATGTAAAACAACATTTTGAACGGTTTTAGATATGGCAAAAAAAATAGTTTTTTGTTCAACTCAAAATCATGTTTCTGTCTTTATTTTTGTTAGTTATTAACAAAAGTTTATGAGTTAAACATTTATGAATTTAATTTTCCCCACAGGAAGTTTTAAAATAAATATTATGATTAGTTTTAAAGACATTTTAATAAATATGTACACTGAAGGTTTTAATCCCTTTTTCCTCCCAGTCACAACACAAGTAATATTTTTCTAAAAATATCTTTATTAATATTAATTACAAGCTGAAGTGACTGGCGTTGCCCGTGAAATAAAATAAAAATTCCGAATTTTGAAAAATAAGGATTTAAAAAATAAATTGAAAAACTAATTTTAAAAATGATTCAAAAAAACTATTTTTTCAGTCTATGTTATCCCCAGGGTATAGCATGAGTTATCTCTAAAAAGTAAAAACGCTTTATTATTTAGATTAATTTAAATATTTGCAGTGAACAGCAGTGTAGATCTGATGCAGAATGTCCTCCAATTTTTCGGTAACAATTTTTTGCGATACAGTTCAAATGATAACTTAAAAACAAACAAGCTAAAGTGCCCGGGTAATTTTACAAACACTTTTTAAACTATTTTTTCAGTCCATGTTATCACCAGCATGAGTTCTCTCTAAAAAGTGAAAAGCTTTATTATTTAGATTAATTTTAATATTTGCAGTGAACAGCAGTGTAGATCTGATGCAGAATGTCCTCCGATTTTTCGGTAAAAAAACTTTGCGATACAGTTCAAATGATAACTTAAAAATAAACAAGCTAAAGTGCCCGGGTAATTTTACAAACACTTTTTTAGGAATTCTTTTTTTCGAATTTTAAAAAAAAACAATATTTTATCCCAAGGGTACGTAAGGGTTGCTTTAAACTATTTCAGCCAGTTTGATTCAGCAGTTTTCCAGCAATCTAGCTAACATATATATACATATATATATAAGAGAAAAGCTTTATTTTCTAAAAAAAAATAAATAAAATATGATAAAAATAATTATAATATTCAGAGGTTACAGTGTGTGCAGTGGTAACTTCAATCTGTTTGGTCTAAAAATACCAACATGTGAAACTAGAAGACAAAATCTTGGTGGAAAGTAAGTAAATTAAATTAGTCCAATAAATTGTTTTTTTATAAAAAGTGAAAAAAGCACACTTAACTTACTTCTGTTTTAAAACTTTTCTTCAATTACAATTCCTAACTTCTGGAGGGCTTGGATATAAAAATAAACTTAAATTCTACGTCACAAATAGATTTAAAGTTACAATTAGATTTAAAGGGAGTGACCAGCTATGTATTGTAGTTAAACTGGGTATGCAGTATTGTGGAAAAATTCTTCAGGATTCATTTGAGATATATAAAACGTTTTTAAGATGTATAATCAGTAATCACTGTGTTTGATCGCAAAGTCGACTTTCATTAAAATCTTTTTTTAAAGCTACAATTAGATTTAATGCTACAATTAGATTTAAAGTTACAATTAGATTTAAAGTTACATTTAGATTTAAAGATACAATTAGATTAAAAGTTACAATTAGATTTAAAGTTACAATTAGATTTAAAGGTTCAATTATATTTAAAGTTACAATTAGATTTAAAGCTACACTTAGATTTAAAGTTACAATTAGATTTAAAGCTAAACATAGATTAAAAGTTACAATTAGATTTAAAGTTACAATTAGATTTAAAATTACAGTTAGATTTAAAGTAACAATTAGATTTAAAGTTACAATTAGATTTAAAATTACAATTAGATTTAAAGTTACAATTAGATTTAAAGATACAATTAGATTTAAAGATACAATTAGATTTAAAGTTACAATTAGATTTAAAGTTACAATTAGATTTAGAGTTACAATTAGATTTAAAGTTACAATTAGATTTAAAGATACAATTACTAATTCAAAAGAATAAGACGATAAATATTAAATATTTCTCGGTATTTTTATTATTTAATAACTTTAATAATTTACATTTTTGTATTTAGATGCTTAACACAGCAAGATGGTCTATGTGCAATCGGAAGTAAGTTTTTTTATCTTTATTTTTGAAAATAACTCCATGGTTAATAACAACAAAGTAACCAAGGGCCCAGGAGTTTAACAGATGTTTCAGCTACTTCTTATCATTTTGCTTATTCATCTGTTGTGTGTGTTTGTTTGTTTTCATCCAAAATTCGTCGTAGCGGCTGAACCGATCAGACCCAATCAAGGAGTATGAAATAGAAGGGAGAATAACTGACGCTGCCCGCCCTACCATATGATTATACATGCTTTGCAGACGGTACTTCATTTGTATAAGACATTTTTGTCTAATGTACAATTACCGCGTATACAAAAACCTATTCTGAATATTTCATATAAAAATGGAGTACCGTCTGCAAAGCATGTATAATCATATAGTAGGGCGGACCGAGTCAGTTCTATTTCATACTCGGGCCTAATATTTTTGTATCTTTGCCGATCGAAATCTATAAAGCTTGCTGAGAAAAAATGTTAATTTTTTTTTTTGATAAATCCGTCCATTTAAGCAGAAAAATACGCAAAATGTCTAGACTTATGCAACATTAAAAGCTAAAATTGTTTGTAGAAAAAGGGACGCGAAGCGCCCTAAATGCTTAGTGACATAAGAGATCTTTATTAATCAAATAAAGGTTTCAACTTTCAAGGGTACCGTTGTGTATCGGGCATTGTCATCTTTACATGAAGTGTCATTTAAAATTATGGTTACAGTCTCTTTAAGAAAGATTAATTTTTAGATTTTTTTGCTGGAGGGCGGAATAACTGCAATGTGCGGCACTGTGCACAGTGCTTCACTAGTGACGACTGTGGCCACTGTGAAAGATGCTACAACAATCGTTGTGATTACATTTGTAGTACAAGCAGTAGTCATAGCAGTTTTGGGACAACTAGCTTTGGCAGTCATGGAGATCACGGACATGGAGATCATGGGCATGGAGATCATGGGCATGGAGATCATGGTCATGGAGATCATGGAGGACATGGAGATCATGGGCATGGAGTTCATGGAACACATAGAAATAGTTGAAAGTCACGAACTCACAGAAGCTGGGTTAACTTATAATTTAGATTATAGCACCATTATACATTGTTTATTGTTACAATTTTTTCTTCAAATAAAGCATGTGGGCTATTTTTGTTTTACTATGACAGAGAGTAAAATATCCTTTTCTCTTGATATCCAGATTTGTTAATTTTTCTCTCTTTAAGGTAAAGTGTCCAGCAAGACATGGAAGTTGAGCTGAATATATATATATATGTGTGTGTGGGTATGTTACCAAGAGCCAACCAAACCGAAACATTCAGAACTGCAAACCAAGATGTTCACGCTCTCACGTAAAAAATCGAGTATTTTGCTTATTATTAAACTTAAGCTACAAAGAAGCACATTGCATCTTTGAAAATTTATATTGCCTAAAGCTACAAAAAAGTGTAAGTAACTTGGTAAAGTAGACCAAAAGGCCAAGGCGTTGCAACACTGTAAATTTGAGGTATGATTAAGTTGCCTATAGTGCTAGAGACGCGTAGGAAAGGAGAGATGCATAGCAAAGATGAGACTTTTATCAAATTTTAGACATTTAGCAATTAAAGATGATAATTGTAGCAATTTGGACTCTCGTAGCAAAGATGAGACTAGTAGCAATATGAGACTTGTAGCAAAGATGAAACTCAAAGCAAAGATGAGACTTGTAGCAAAGATGAGACTTGTAGCAAAGATGAAACTCAAAGCAAAGATGAAACTCAAAGCAAAGATTAGACTTGTAGCAAAGATGAGACTTGAAGCAAGTTTGACTCTCGAGTCTCGTAGTAAAGATGAGTCTAGTAGCAAAGATGAGACTTGTAGCAGTTTTTGCTTTGTCAAGGGTAAAAAATATTCTTCCTACTAATATTAAACTAACCATTTAAAATTTTAGCCTGTGGAAGAAACAAATGTTCAGAAATGAAACAAATTCACATTTTACAGAAAAGCGCAATAAGATTAATTGATAACTCAAAAGCCACGTCTCATAGTGATCCTTTTTTCCTTAAGTATAAGATTCTAAAGTTTAATGATCTGGTAGACTTTAACCAAGCTATATTTATGTATAAATATACACATAAACTTCTTCCTGCATCTTTTGAAAACATTTTTAAAATGTATTTACCATCAAGCTCTCTTCTTAAGATAAAAAAGAAGCAACTCTCTAAGTATATTTAAAAATAGACTACTAAATTCTCTTTTTGAAAATTATAGGACAATGTGTTATAAACCGAATTGCTATTCATGATATGTTTAATATGCTTTAATATTTCTTATGTATATATCAGAAAATTACATTAAACTCTAGTTATTCTAATAAATGTATAAACTATTTTGCATAAGATAAAATCACACCCTGATATCTAAATAGTTCCCCTTAAATCTATTTCATTGAAATCTTTTGTTGTCATTATTAAGATTAGTTGGTAGTTAAGAGCTATTTTCCACCTAATTGTTTTATACTTGTACTGTTATTATAATAATCAATTTGTAATTGTAAACTCGTTCTGTACACAGGATACATGTATTTTAGCAATAAACTTTATTTATCTATCTATCTTTCTAGTTGGTGAAAGGGGGGGAAGGATTTTCTACGCTTGTGAGCTGTAAAAAGCCCTGTAACATCATTTTATAGAAAATCTAAAATTAATATTAAAAGAAAACCAAATTATGAAATAGGCTGGTTTTATAATTGACCAATGATCATTTCACATAGACTCTATGCCTTTCACTTTACAAACGATGATTTTCCGGTATAACTATAAATCAAATGATGTTTTTTATTCACCTAACTTATTTTATAAAGTTTATTTAACAGCTTTAAAAACTTCGAAATTGAAATGGATAGTCTAGGGAACATACTGTATTAATGTACTCTACTGCATATAATTTGTGAACATTTACATGAATTGAACATTTTGAACTCCCTTTGAGGCTGAAAAAGACTGACAAAATTCATACCGAGGGATTTTCTAAATTCCGCTCTAATATATATTTTATTCTCTTTGCCCATTCCCCAAAAAAGGAAAAAAAGGTTTTTAGCGAGATTAGCATGGTTGAGAACTGGTTGATAATTCACGTAATTATTTTACGGCCTCTCCCTGTGTTATACTCTTGGTATATCTACTTTTCCCAATTTTGAAGATTCATCTTGATTAAAGCACGGGTAAAAAAGGCAGAAATATCCCGTCGTTTTTTCACATGTTTTCACATGAACGTAGCAATGCTACCAGTGCAAAATCTTGCATATTCCAATAGTATTAAACACAAGAATATCTAGATTTTAATTCTCGTAATTATCACGTGTAAGATATATGAGATAAATCTAGTTCAATTTTTTCACATGTTGTGCTCGTAGCAAAGATACCAGTGCAAGATCTCGCATATTCCCAACGTGTTATTCATGTAATGCCAGAATATCTAGATTTTAATTCTTGGAAATATCACGTGTAAAATATACGAGATTTTTCATTTTTAATAGAGTTGCAAAACCACAACACTTGGTGTCTCTGCTCATTTTTTAGAAACTAAAAGTTTATTGTAGTAAAATGAAATATATTAACTGACGTGACATAAATTTTTCAAATTATAACAAGCATAAACAAAGTATAGAAAAGTTTCACATTGAAATTTGCATTGTATTTCTCAACAACCGCTTTTTGGAATATCTATCTTTTAGATATAGCAATAAATAGAGTTTCATGTAACTATTAATACATCAATATATATAGTTGAACATTATGTAGAAATAAATTTTAGTTTTTAATCATTTCGCAATGGTTATATACTTTTACACAGTTTTTTTTTGTAATATATTTAAATATCAGAAATCAACTGTATATCCCGAGTCCCCCCCTTTCCCAGTATATAAAAATTATAATTTAAGTAGATGAAAGAAAAATAATTTTCTCGTGTAAAAATCCCGTTTACATCTTGTTATATGAACTCAAGTTTTCCCCGTGTAAAAACTCGATCATAAACCCATCATCAAATCGTCACTCGTGTGAAATACGCCAAATAATCCTGTGTTCTCCACAGGTTTTTGTTAGTTGGATTGTAGCAAAGTTGAGACTTGTAGCAAAGTTGAGACTTGTAGCAAAGTTGAGACTTGTAGCAAAGTTAAGACCCTAAGTAAAGGTGAGACTCGTAGCAAAGATGAGACACCCAGAAATGTTGAGATTCGTAGCAAGGTTGAGACTTATAGCAAAGTTGAGACTTGTAGCAAAGTTGATACTTGCAGCAAAGTTGAGACTTGTAGCAAAGTTGATACTTGCAGCAAAGTTGAGACCCTAAGCAAAGGTGAGACTCGTAGCAAAGATGAGACTCCCAGCAATGTTGAGATTCGTAGCAAAGTTGAGACTTGTAGCAAAGTTGAGACTGGTAGCAAAATTAAGAATTGTAGCAAAGTTGAAACTTGTGACAAAGATGAGACTCAAAGTATAGTTGAGGCTTGTAGCAAAGATGAGACTCATAGCAAGATTGAGACTCATAGCAAATTGAGACTTGTATTATAGTTGAGATTTGTAGCAAAGATGAGACTCATAGCAAGGTTAAGACTCGTAGAAAAGATGAGACTAGTAGCAAACAAGCTGTCATCAAGTTTAAAACATTGGCGCGGCATTCAGGTATAAAACCTGTAAAAAGTGAAGAAAATCCATCCCCCCTCTCTCCCCAGCATAAAAGTTCCCCGATGGTTTAGTTGATAGATGATTTTAACCTTGACTTAATACACGCACAAAGATTCTGTGCGCGGCTGACCTTGGGTTAACACTTTTGGTTTTATCAGAGTGCACGCTTGTGCTCCATAGAGAGAAGATGTTTATTAATCTAGTGTTTTCAGTTTGGTGTTTTCAGTTTTATTCTACATCGGCTTTCTTTATTAGGTACTAGCTAAAAGGCCCGGCATTGCCCTTGGAATTAATAAAAGATAGAAAAAAATTTTAATAGCTAATATATATCTATACATGTTTATGTATTCTTGAAAATCCGTTAAAAAATTTAGAAAATCAATAATTATTGTTCCGTCTTTAGCCCAAGAANGGTACTTTAGAGGTGTCCAAGACAAAAGTCTTGCAGAGGTTGTTAAAAAAGTAAAAAATGCCCAAAAATATACTTTTAACTATATGTTTTAAATTTAGGGTTAAAATGATAAGCTTAGATAATTTCTGCAGGCCAAGCAATGTATATTTTTTGTGAAGCTGGGGGAGGGGTGGGGTCATAAAATCCTTAAAATGTATGATGGGTTCTAAATTATTTTCTAAAAATATCTTAATTATTATTAATTACTAGCTGGAGTGCCAGGTGTGAACTAAATTAAAAAAATCAGACTAAAAAAGATTGTTTTTTGAAAAAAAGTATTTTAAAAAAAAGAATTTTTTATTAAATTTTACCCCCGCAGTACCAAAAAAAAATTTATTATATAGATTAATTACAATATTTTTAGTGAACAGCAGTGTAAATCTGATACGGAATGTCCTCCAATTTTTCGGTAAAAAAAAATTGCAATAAAGTAGTACAAATGATAAATTTATTATTATTTCATTTATTACCAAATATTAATAATGATAAAAATAATAATTGTATATTCAGGGGTTACAAAGTGTGCGAGGGTAGCTTCGATCTTTTTGGTTTAAAAATACAAACATGTGAGACTAGAAGGGAAAACCTTGGTGGAAAGTAAGTAAATAAAAAGTCAATTGTATATTTTTTTTTAATAAAAAAGTGGAAAAATGAACACAGATCTTTACTTTGGTTTTATAAATTTCAATATTAAGATATTTTGTATAGCTGCAATAACAGTGTCTTTGTAGTAAATTTACATGTTCATGATTCCTATGGCTATAGTGATAACCAGAAAACACTGAAATGGGAAGACGACTTTTAGAATCAAGTTATGACTTTAAAAAGTCCACTGAGTCATTGTGCACTGTAAACAGACCCATTTCACTAGTTTAATGATTTAATAAGTATCCAGTAAAACTATTTGCTTTGTTTAACAGCACCATGTATACACTTGAGAATTGATAAAATGTCGTCTTCATATTTTATCGTTTTCTGGTTAATACTGAACAACAAACGTTTTCTTTCAGTATATTTACATTTTCATGATTGCCAAGAATGTTAACCAATAAATATCATAATTAATGATTAGTGTCGTCCTAAACTTTAAATTTTATTAGATTAAGTTTTTTTTAATTTGTAGAATTAACTATACCTCTCCTTTCTTCTCAAACCTAACTTCTGAAGGGCTTGGATATAAAATCACACTTAAATTTTACGTCACAAATAGATTTAAAGTTACAATTAGATTTAAAGGGAGTGACCGGCTATGTATGGTAGTTAAACTGAGTATGCAGTATTGTGGACAAATTCTTCAGGATTCATTTGAGACGTGTAAAACGTTTTTACGTATGTATAATCACTGAGTTTGATCGCAAAGTCGACTATCATAATAATCTTTTTGGGTGGATACGTTTTGAGAATCGTTTTTTTTTATTATAAAATAACAAGCAAAAAATGTAACAAAATTCTACTGTAAACGTATTAGCTGTTTAGGAACACGTTGAGAAAATAAAAATTAACGCTTATTATCGAAAGTAAGTAACCTTATTCAATTATTAGTTTATATAATCTCTCATTATTCACAAAGATTTTCTGGAATTTTTATTGAAAAGACGACATTTCAAGAATTTGTAGAAATCTGCGAACAAATTTAAACAAAATAAGAAATTCAATATTATGATGAAAACGAAATAATTGATTCTAGCATCGATTTATTGACAAGTTTCTTTTGAAAAATATGTTCCTAACCATTTTATTACTTTACTGTATAATTTTTACTTTATTTTTCATGGTCATTGTTTAACAATTAAAAAAGTCGACTTTGCGATTAAATATAAATATACGTCGTAGAATAGTTATGTATGTCTCAATGAATCTTTAAGAATTTGTCCACAATACTGCATACTCAGTTCAACTACCATACATAGCCGGTCACTCCCTTTAAAGATACAATTACAAATTCCTTTACTGCATTTCTAATCAAAAGAAACGGAAAGCCGATAAATATATCGCGGTGTTTTTTTTATTATTTTGAGAACTTTAATAATTTACATTTTTTGTATTTAGATGCTTAACACAGGAAGATACTCTATCTGCAATCGGAAGTAAGTTTTTATCTTTATTGTTTAAAAAAGAATTAATTATACCTTTTCTTTTGCCACAAATACCTAACTTCTGGAAGGCTTGGATATAAAAATAAACTTAAATTCTACGTCACAAATAGATTTAAAGTTACAATTAGATTTAAAGGGAGTGACCGCCTATGTATTGTAGTAAACTGAGTATGCAGTATTGTGGAAAAATTCTTCAGGATTCATTTGAGATATATAAAACGTTTTTACGATGTATAATCAGTAATCACTGAGTTTGATCGCAAAGTCGACTTTCATTAAAATCTTTTTTTAAAGCTACAATTAGATTTAAAGCGACAATTAGATTTAAAGTTACAATCAGATTTAAAGTTACAATTAGATTTAAAGATACAATTAGATTTAAAGTTACAATTAGATTTAAAGTTACAATTAGATTTAAAGTTTATATTTAAAGTTACAGCTAGATTTAAAGATACAAATTCAAAAGAATAAGGAAGACGATAAATATTTCTCGGTGTTTTTTATTATTTGACATTATTGAAACTTTAATAATTTACATTTTTTGTATTTAGATGCTTAACACAGCAAGATGGCCTATGTGCAATCGGAAGTAAGTTTTTTATCCTTATTTTTGAAAATAATAACAAAGTAACCAAGGGCCCAGGAGTTAAACAGATGTTTCAGCTACTTCTTATTATTTTGCTTGTTCATCTGTTTTGTGTGTTTGTTTGTTTTCATCCAAAATTCGTCGTAGCGGCTGAACCGATCAGGCCCAATATTTTTATATCTAATCAGATCGCAATCTAAAGTTTAATGAAAAAAGTCAATTTCAAAATTCATCTATTTAAGAAGAAAAATCTGAAAAATGTTTAGAAAAATGGCGGTTTGTAAAGCAACATTAGAAGCTAAAATTGTTTCTAAGATAAATAAAAAGGCTAATATCCAAATTTCTAATTTCTATCTTTCATTGATTTATTTAAGTAATAACAGTTTTGCATTTAAAAGATTTAAAATGTAATATTAAAGGGACTGTACGGGTAATGTCAAGTGACCCTCCATAAAAAGATGGCAATGCCTGATTTAAACGGTTCCAATAAAAGCGTTGTCTGATCAATTAGGTGGTTATAATGGTTATAATGGTTATAATGGTTATAATGGTTATAATTTAAAAACTAACTATTTTTGATGGTGGGTTCTCTACAAAAGTGACTTGGGAATATCTTCCACATTATTTATCAAATATAGGTTTCAACTTTCAAGGGTACGGTTGTGTATCAGGCAATGTCATCTTTACATTGAGTGTCACTTGACATGACGCTTACAGTCCCTTTAAGAAAAATTAATTATTAGATTTTTTTGCTGGTGGGCGAAACAACTGCAATGTGCGGCACTGCGCACAGTGCTTCACTAGCGACGACTGTGGCCACTGTGAAAGATGCTACAACAATCGTTGTGATTACATTTGTAGTACAAGCAGTAGTCATAGCAGTTTTGGGACAACTAGCTTTGGCAGTCATGGAGATCACGGACATGGAGATCATGGGCATGGAGATCATGGGCATGGAGATCATGGTCATGGAGATCATGGAGGACATGGAGATCATGGGCATGGAGATCATGGGCATGGAGATCATGGTCATGGAGATCATGGAGGACACGGAGATCATGGGCATGGAGTTCATGGAACACATAGAAATAGTTGAGAGTCATGGAACTCACAGAAGCTGGGTAAACTTATAATTTGAATTATAGCACCATTATACATTGTTCAGTATTACAATTTTTTCTTCAAATAAAGCATGTGGGCTATTTTTGTTTTACTATGACAGAGAGTCAAATAACCTTTTCTCTTTTGTTAATTATATCTCTCTTTATTGTAAAGTGATCGGATAGACATGGAAGTTGAGCTGAAAGTTCAGTATTGTAGAGAAATTATCCACAATACTGCACTTTCAGGCTTCAGCTCAACTACCATGTCTAGCCAGTCTCTCCCCTTAAAGAAGAGCCGTTGAATATATATATGTGTGTGTATGTTAACAAGAGCCAACCAAACCGAAACATTCAGCACTGCAAACCAAGATGTTCACGCTCTCACGTAAAAAATCGAGTATTTTGCCTATTATTAAACTTAAGCTACAAACAAGCACATTGCATCTTTGAAAATTTATATGCCATTGCGACACTGTAAATTTGAGGTTGTCTAAAATTTTTATGAATAAGTGTATGATTAAGTAGTCTATAGTGTTAGTGAGACGCATAGTAAAGGAGAGACGCAGAGCAAAGACTCTTATCAAGGTTCAGACTTGTAGCAAAGATGAGATTAGCATGGTAGAACTGGTTGACAAGGGCGTATACAGAAATTAGGAGCTCCTATTTGAGCTGTAAATTCTAAACATTTGGCTTTTTGGATATCAGGCATAAGTATTAGATACTTTAAAGCAAAAAGCATGAGCAAAGTATAGATAAGTTTTACACCGAAATTTGCATTGTATTTCTCAACAACCGCTTTTTGGAATATCTATCTTTTAGATATAGCAATGAAGAGAGTTTCATGTAACTATTAATACATCAATATAGTTGAACATTATGTAGACATAAAACATCACTATTTAAATATTCATCATTTAAACTTTACATGTTAACAAGAAGTTTATTGTAAAAGATGTATACTAACATGTTTAGTTTCTAATCATTTCGCAATGATTATATACTTTTACACAGTAATTTTTTGTAATATATTTAAATATCAGAAATCAACTGTATATCCCGAGTCCCCCCCTTTCCCAGTATATAAAAATTATAATTTAAGTAGATGAAAGAAAAATAATTTTCTCGTGTAAAAATCCCGTTTACATCTTGTGATATGAACTCAAGTTTTCACCATGTAAAAACTCGGTCCTAGACCCATCATCAAATCGTCACTTGGGTGAAATAAGCCAGATAATCTTGTGTTCTCCACAGGTTTTGGTTAGTTGGATTGTAGCAAAGGTGAGACTCGTAGCAAAGTTGAGACTTTTAGCAAAATTGAAACTTGTAGCAAAGATTAGACTCATATAGCAAAGGTGAGACTAATAGCAAATGTGAGACTCGTAGCAAAGTTGAGACTTGCGACAAAGATGAGACTCAAAGTATAGTTGAGACTTGTAGCAAAGATGAGACTAGTAGTAGACTTGCAGCAAAGATGAGACTCATAGCAAGATTGAGACTCATAGCAAATTGAGACTTGTATTATAGTTGAGATTTGTAGCAAAGATGAGACTTATAGCAAAGATGATAATAGAAGCAGACGTATAGCAAAGATGAGACTCATAGCAAGGTTGAGACTCGTAGCATAGATGAGACTCATAGCAAAGATGATAACAGAAGCAGACGTATAGCAAAGATGAGACTCATAGCAAGGTTAAGACTCGTAGAAAAGATGAGACTAGTAGCAAACAAGCTGTCATCAAGTTTAAAACATTGGCGCGGCATTCAGGTATAAAACCTGTAAAAAGTGAAGAAAATCCATCCCCCCTCTCTCCCCAGCATAAAAATTCCCCGATGGTTCAGTTGATAGATGATTCTAACCTTGACTTAATACGCGCAAAGATTCTNCTCGGGTCATTCCCTATAAAAGGTCACGTGAAATTATTTAATAGGATTAAAATATTGCCAAGTTTCACACTCTCTAATTTCTATTTTATTAATTTTGGTCCCTTAATTTAAACTTTTTGTAACTGGAAGTAACCAATTGAGTGTAGTATAATCGTTATCATACTCGTATGTTAATATTTTTTTTATGTATGGAATAAATTTTCAGTTGTTTAATTCTAAGCTTATATTATCAATTTTTGACAATTTGCCTAAAAAGTTACATTTTGCGTAAAACTTGCGGTTTTGCGCAAATTACGCAAAACAAATTGCGCAAAACTAAAATTTCGTTTCATGCGCAACTATCGCAAAGAAAATTAATATTTCCGGTTTTGCGCAAATTGCGCAAAACAATAGCGCAAAACCGCGCTAAACTCATTGCGTTGACACAAATGTGCAAATGACACAAATGTGCAAATGACACAAATATGCAAATGACACAAATGTGCAAATGACACAAATGTGCAAAAGTTCGCAAAAAAAAAATGCGCGAAAATAGCGCAAATTTTGCGCAAAAGGTTTAGCCATTTCGTGGAAACCCTACTTTAAAGATACAATTACAAATTCCTTTACTGCACTTCTAATCAAAAGAAACGGAAAGCCGATAAATATATTTTTTTATTATTTTGAGGACTTTAATAATTTACATTTTTTGTATTTAGATGCTTAACACAGGAAGATACTCTATCTGCAATCGGAAGTAAGTTTTTATCTTTATTGTTTAAAATGACTCCATGATTGAATAACAACTAATTAACCAGGGGCCAAGGAGTTTAAAATAGGAAGGCGACATTATAGCACTTCTAAAGAGCATTTGATGTTTACTTGAAAGTTATTAAAGTACTAATTAAATAAAATGGTTCTGTTTACACTGCACAATTGCTGTGCCTCTTGTTTATTTCGCTATTAAAAGTCATACCTTGAGTTTAAAAGTCGACTTCCTATTCCAGAGTTTTCTGGTTTTCACTGTATACTGTAATTTTGCTTGTTCATCTGTTGGTTTGTCTGTTTGTTTTCGTCCAATATTCGTCGAAACGGCTGAACCGATCATGCCCAATATTTTTATATTTTAGCAGATCTAAATCTTTAGTTTGCTAAGAAAAAATTTCGATTTAATTTGTTTGAAATCCGTTCATTTGAGCAGAAAAATCTGCAAAATGTTTAGACTTATGATGCACAAAGCAAAATGGCGGTTTGTAAAGCAACATTAAAAGCTAAAATTGTTTCTGAAAAAGGGATATTTATCTAAGATAAATAAAAAGGCTAATATCCAAATTTCTAATTTCTATCTTTCATTGATTTATTCAAGTGATAACAGTTTTGAATTTAAAAGATTTAAAATTTAATATTAATGGGACTGTATGGGTAATTACAAGTGACCCTCCATGAAAAGATGGCAATGCCTGATTTAAACGGTTCCAATAAAAGCGTTGTCTGATCAATTAGGTGGTTATATGGTTATAATGGTTATAATTTGAAAACTAACTATTTTTAATGGTGGGTTCTCTACAAACGTGACTTGGGCATTCCTACTGCTAAAAGCATATAGTAATTATATTAGAATTAAACTCTTTTAAACCTTAAATATCGGCAATATCTTCCACATTATGGATCAAATATAGGTTTCAACTTTCATATGGTACCGTTGTGTATCAATTAAAATTAATTTTTAGATTTTTTTGCTGGAGGGCAGAACAACTGCAGTGTGCGGTTCTGCGCAGAGTGCTTCAATAGTGACGACTGTGGCCACTGTGAAAGATGCTCCAGCAATCGTTGTTATTACACCTGTAGTAGAGGCAGTAGTTATAGCAGTTTTGGACATGGAGTTGGACATGGAGTTGGATTTGGAGTTGAACATGGAGTTGGACATGGAGTTGGATTTGAAAGTCATGGAACTCTGGGTTAACTTATTATTTAGATTATGGCACAAATTAAGCATTGTTCAGTATTACAATTTTTTCTTCAAATACAGCATTAATGCAACTTTTGTTTTACTATGACAGAGAGTGAAATAACCTTTTCTTATTTCATATCCAGATTTGTTGATTATTTCTCTCTTAAAGGAGAGCTGTGCAAATATATAAATATACAGAGGTAGTTGATTATATCAATACAATGAAGACGACTTTTTATTAAGTTTTAATTTTTAAAAAGCTTTCTTCGAATTACAAGTTTACAAGTAATCAAAGAGAAGTTTTTTTATTGACTACAATTTTTATGTGTATCCATGCTATGCTAACAGCTTGATATAAATCAAAATTTAAATCGAACATCGTCTTGATATAATCGCTTACAACTGTATGTTACCAAGAGCCAACCAAACCGAAACACTTAGAGAGATATAACAAAGATTCTTGTTAAATCTTTACGCAGGCAGTTGGTTGTTTTCTACCGAGTGTCAGGCAGTTTTTAAAATTCACGGGCAACGTTAGCGCTTTCGCCATCTTAAGATAAAGCAATGCTATGAAATGAATACTTTTATCCACTATTATGAAAACATATTAATAACTTTTGTTTCAAGGGATCTAAACACCCCTTTAGCTAGGCAGCATAATACTGCGCAAAATATTTACACAGGCTGGTTTTTTGCACAGGCTTATTTCTTTCTAATACTTCTAAAATTCATATTTTCTTGTCCATTGTCATTTGTCATAAATGAAGCATGATATAAAAAGTTTATAGTGTCGTAACTTTTACATAAAATCCAAACTATTGGGATCCCAAACGATTATCAACTAATGTTTAAGATATTGGGATTAGGCTTGGTTTGGGAATAAGGTATATGAACAAGATAGAACCAATTGGGTGTAGGTAAAATATGTTGGGAATTGGAAAGGATATCAACTGAAGAGGAAGTTGGGATTGGGATGGAAATAAGCTGTAGAGAAATTTGGGATTGGAAGATTTGGGATTAGGAATCAATAAGAGCTAGGATGAAAATAAGGGTTCTTATATTAGTAGTTAGAGTGATTGGAAAGATTGGGCAAAGGAATAGATGTTTTTTGAGAACCACTGTATTGAAAGAAAAATATGAAAGTTTAGTATAAAGATAACGTTAGGATAAAATACTTGTGTGTAAAACTATAAGAGAATAAGTGATTTAGTGGATAAAAATATTAAATAGGAATGAAGACGACATTTTGGAAAGGATGAACGAATTAATGTCAAGTTAGAATAAGAGAGAGAAAAGGATAAAAAATCATCTTTAGAATCATTAAATAATCCGACTCAATCTTGATACAGAATTATTTTTTTATTTATTATCTGGCTGTTTGTGACCCATAAACGTCTAAACGGCTGAACCGATCGCGCCTTTATTTTTATTGGGACCTCTCATGACTCCAAGGAAGGTTTATGGATGTTCAAAGTTTAAAACATTAATTTAAAAATTTTCGATTTTTTCAAAATACACGAAAAAATCGATTATAGGCGCCCTGGAAGCACTATATCAAATACACTTAAAGATTTTTTATAAAGTTGTTCACTGTATAATGTACCTTGTACAATGTATACATATAGACTCAGTTTACTTAACATTGAAAACTTTCCTTGGGAATGAATTAGCAAATTTTTTCTCTCTCTCCCCCCCCCCCCTTTCTATTGATTTTCAGCATTTTTTTCTACGGAGGGGGGGGGGAAGGGGGGTAAGTCCCCTTTGTTGTCAAATACAGGAATTTCTATATATAACCTCTATTTTTTTGGTCCACAGTGTTTACTTCATTTAGTCCTTCAAGAACTCAGAAGTCCTCTCTCTAGTCCACCCTCTAGTCATCCCTCTAGCCCTCCCTCTAGTCCTCCCTCTAGTTCTCCCTCTAGTCCTTTCCCTCTAGTCCTCCCTCTAGTCATCTTTTATACTCGGAAGTTCGCTTTAGTCCTAAGAAATCCTATGTTGTTTTCTCAAGTCCACCAAAATATTTTCTAGATGTCCTTTTTCTTATTTAGTCCTCCTTAGTCCTCTCTAGAACTCTGTTTAGTCCTTTGTTGTCCTCTTTTGTAATCTTTTATCCTCTGAAATCCATAAATAATTGCTCAATCTTATGAAGTCCTCTCTAATCCTTTGTAGTCCTCTGTAGTCCTTCTTTAATCCTTCGTAGTCTTCTGCATTTATCTTTTGTCCTCTGTAGTCCTCTCTAAAACTCACTTTTATTACATGAAGTCTCCTAAAGTCCTTCTGTAGTCCCTATGTTTTATTTCACTGTTAAACCCCTGGATTGTAAACACAGGAAGAGGGTTTGTACAAGTATAAGATTGAGTTTAGAAGAGTGAGGACCTCAAAACAATGATTGATATTTTAGTTTTAATAACTCTTTTGTGTTTTCAATTTATACCAAACTCTGCTTCCTACAGAAGGTAGATATTGAACACTTATCATAAAATTATTAGGTTTTACATCGTAAAAATCAGTCATTTTATCCACTTCAAATTTGATGTATTAATCAATTTTTCTTCAGAATAATGTCGGTTTAAGTAATTTTCGACTAAAACTATCAGAGAGTCATTAAAAATGTTTTTATTTTTTCATTTTTTCATTTTCATAATCATAAAATAAGGTTCACAGAAACCAGTTGTATTTTTTTTACTTGATGCTTTTGAAAACAAAATTTCATCGTGGTATTCCATAATTTGAGAAAAAGTTAAATTCTGATTAAAAATAGCATAGTCTAAACAAGTTGTCTATTCCAAGGGAACATGAGTGTAGGTGGGACACGGAATGCCCTCCAGTATTACGGTAAGAAAAAGTATTTATGAAAAATATAAAAATTAAACAGCATTAAGCATGTGAAAAAATCAGTGTAGCCGTTACAACCTTTCTGAAATACAGGGTGACCCATAGAGAATGAGATTTCAGATAAGGGTTTCCATTGGTTTTCGGATCAATTGGGTTCCTGCAGGGTTTCCAGAGCTGTTCAGAAAAAAAAATTTTAAACTCTCGAAAATGAAGGAAGGAACATTTCTCCCCCGCCTCACTCTAGTTTTAGTAGAAGTAAATATTTCCATTTAATGCTTAGCGCTGATTTAAGGATTTATCTCTAATTGGATAATGAGATAGATAGAAAGATAGATGTTACCGCCATACTATTTCTATTGGTTCAAAATAGACACCAAACACATGACTTAACCCTGATTGGATCAGGCGCTAATGGACTCGGCATACAAGAGTAATGCTACACAAAGCTAGATGTAACATGATGCTTCACAAAGCTAGGTGGAACATGATGCTACACAAAGCTAGATGATGAAAAAACATGATGAAAAAACATGTTTACAGGTCGATTATTCTATATGGAATTGATCCGAAATAATCGTCCAATAAAATGTTCAGCATTTCCCACCTTATAGCACTAATGTTTATTCTTAACAGCTTCAGGAAAAGTTCCGTGGGACCTTTTCGGATTCAAATTAGTAAAAAAAAAAATGAGAACTCTACTTCAGAGACGACTGTACGAAGTTTATTACAAAGTTTTTTTAGCTTGTACTCATGGCTCCATGTAGTTTAAAATTTGTTTCTTTGCTAGATTATTTAATACATCCAAAAAATAATTTATTGAACACAGTAGAAGACTGAATTCAACCTTCATATCATCACATTTTATGAGTTTTAGGTTGTCATCATCCAAATTTTCAGATTATTTCTTCCGTTTTTGCTGAATACAGTTATACCCAGAAAAATTCGGACTAAAAAGACGACTTTTAGACTAAACTTGTTTACTTTAAATAGTCCAATGAACATTGGACATCGCTATTTTGTAGTGTGCAAAACCCTTTTTTGTTAAAAAGTGATTTAAATAGTGTCCAGTAAAACTAAATAAAATGCATCTAAGTATTGCTATAAAGTCGTATTCCTATTTCAAAGTTTTCTGGTTATCTCTGTATGATCTGTTTAAAGCTTTGATTCACTTACAATATCACATATATATGAGTTTTAGTATAAATTTGACACTAATATTAGTCGCGATCAACTTCTAATTTTTTTTGCTTTAACATATACCCCTTTCATTTTACCTTTACAATCCTTTTAAAGTTTCATCCTTTGAAGGTAACCCTGCACATACAGAAGCTCCCATTAAAAAAAAACTTTAAATCATATAATACTGCAGAAATATTGAATAACAGAGCAGCTAGATATAATCAAATTCAGGGATCTCAACATGTGTGCTAGAATAAACAGCAAAACTGTTGCAGTTGGTAAAAAGATTCCACCATGTGAAGCAAATAGAATAAATCTGGGTGGAAAGTAAGTTGTTAAATATTTTATTGCATTAAATCTATTGTCAATGTATGTGTTTTCTTCATTTTTTCACTGCATCTAAATAATCAAAACTAAAACGAACTGTAATTTCAAGTGACCCTCCGTGCAAAGATCTTTGTCTGATTAAGTATGAACTAGATATCAATTTTGATAACTTAAAAAACTGGTTATTATCATTTCTGGGTTCTCTACAAAAGTGACTTGCGCATTTCTACACTGCATTAAAACATATACAAATCATCAGAATTAAATACTTTTTAAGTTAGAAAAACGAACTTAACCTTGCATGAAGGGTGACATGAAATTAGGCTTACAGTCCCTTTAAAGGAATTAAGATTAAAACTATTACTTTTAAAACATTTATCTTAGTCTGCGCAATGATGTTGAAGATATGAAACTGAATTTTAGCCACAAATTCGAAGATTAGAATACGTATATCACTGAATCATGATGTGTGCATCCTTGATATCTTAAAGTGAAACTATTTCATCTTAAAGATAATTTATCTAGGAATGCATAGTAAGACATCCTTTTTTATCAAGAACAGTTTTTTTAAATTCCAAAATTATATGTTGAGATTTTATTAACTTTTTAAACAGAAAATGGTCAGAAAAATACAGGGTGTCCCACGAAACATGACAGTTTGTAAATAGTTTTGATTGTCTTCTTCCATATACTGTATTAGATGTTAAACACTTTTTGCAGTTTTTTTAGTTTTAAAACAAATTTTACTCTAATACATTTTATTGAAATTCATGAAATCTTTTTTAATTACTCTCCTTGGTATCAAACAACTTAACAAACTATGGAAGAAGACATTCTAAACTATTCACCAACTGTCATGTTTCGTAGGACACCCTGTATTTAAAAACGTATTCAATTCTTTTATTCAGGTGTTTGACTAAACAAGATGGACTGTGTGCAATGAGAAGTAAGTCTAATGTTTTTCAATGGTCAAAATATTACAGTGAAAACTCTGAAATAGGAAGACGACTTTTAAACTCGTTTTAACTTTAAGTGGTGCAAAAGCACATTGGAGGCATAGCAATTGTGCAATGTAAACAGACCCATTTCACTTGAACAGTGATTTAATAATTGTGTCTAGTAATACAACTATTAGCTTTCTAACAGCGTCAAGTACACTTATTGCTATAATGTCGTTAAGCTTTCCTATTTTTAGAGTTTTATAAGTTTGATTAAGAAGACTACAGTTAAACCATAAATGAGCTATACATTGAAAGACTTTATCGAAGACTACTGTACGGAAATCGTATTTATAGGTTCCCCTGCAGTGGTGAACGTTTTTATTTCGTAGCACCTACGAAACGTTTCCTTATTGAATATTTCCTCACATATCGTTTCCTACACAAAACGTTTCCTGCCACCAAGCGTTTCCTGCTACAAAACGTTCCCTGCCACCAAGCGTTTCAGCTGCTACAAAACGTTTCCTGCCACCAAGCGTTTCCTGCTACAAAATGTTTCCTGCCTCCAAGCGTTTCCTGCTACAAAATGTTTCCTGCTACAAAATGTTTCCAGCCACCAAGCGTTTCCTGCTACAAAATGTTTCCTGCCACCAAGCGTTTCCTGCTACAAAACACTTCCTGTCTCCAAACGTTTCCTGCTACAAAACGTTTTGTGAAGAAACAATCAGTTAGGAAAAGTTGTGGCAGGAAACATTTGGTGAGGAAACATTCAGTTAGGAAACGTTATGTAAGTTAGCGTTTCACACATGGGTATCCAGCGAATTTAAAAATTGTTCCGAGAAAATTTCGCATTTTTTCGCGATACATTTCGTTCGCCGGAAAACCTAGTGTGCTTCTTTATTTCTTGGTAAAATCCTTAAATATGCCATGGAAAAATATATTTAAGGGAGAAAATAAAATAAAATCTTCAAGTTATTCTATTTAGAGAGTTTCAGGTCGTCATTTAAGTCTCATGCTTAAGAAGACTATTATAAAAGTTTAATTATATAACTCCCACTGAAAACCATATATTTGATTTCACTCACCCAGGAGAGGGAGGCTCAATTGTTTATACGACTCTAACATTGTTATATTTTAGACTTTTTTACGAGAAGTTGGAAGAACTGCAGTGTTCGACGTTGTGCGCAATGCTACACCCACAGCGACTGCGCAATCAAATGCGAAAGATGCCGCAAAAATCGGTGTGATTATGTCTGCAAAGAAACCCCGGGATTACACTTCACGGCATTTAACGAGATCACCATTGATGGTCAAAAAATAAACGTTAGTGAATCAATCAGTCAACACTTCAAGTAACCGGTGATATTGAGATCATCAGAACTTTGGAATAGTGGTAGTCACAAGAATTTCATATATTTTACTTAATTACACTTAAAATGGCCTGAACATCGTCTTTCTATTCCACAGTTTTTTAGGCTTCACTAATCACTGCTATTTAATTGTGTTAGTTCAAATTTGTTTATCAAATAAGAATGTATTGTAAACTCAAGGAAAGTCAAATGTCTTAATATTTTTTTAATGTTTAATATTCGTCCCTGAATGAGTATTCACAAAAAATGAAATGGCCGATAATAGATTTTAATTTGAAATCATTAAGTACCAACCTGTTTATCATGTTTCTATAATGACAAAATGATTAAAACATTCTTTGAACCAGTGAAATATAATAGTAAAATTCTTTAATCGAAATGCACCTAGCATTAAGATATATTTTTTTAAATGTGCTCTGTGCTTTTAGGCAAAAAAGCTCATTTAAAATATGTACAAACTACGAACTCCTAAGGTGGTTTATGGTCACATGGTGCCTTTTAAAATCAAGAAATCACAGGATTTTCCCGTATAAGATTCCCGGGAATTTCAGCGGAGTCCTGGTATAGATTCCTTGGAATTTCCGTGAATTTTCCGCAAAATTGTTACTAAGCAAGGAAACGTAATTAACTGTTGAACATGAATTGGTAAGATATATGCTTTTTAATAAATTTTTTATGTTTACTTGGAGAGACATAAAGCGTCCCAGAGAGAGTTTAAAAAAATGTTTTTGTGATTGCACATGGAGTTGTTTATTAAATAAAAAGTTTCTAAAACTTGGCGAAAAAAACCTACTGCGATCAACTGGTTTATCTGGGGCCTGGGAACCACCTATTCTAAGTTACCCATGAGGCAATTGTGATCGAGTAGGGGTAGGCAATAGCCACATTCGTTTTGCAGAAACTTTTAATGTCTTTAGGTAAAATATTAACTGTTGAACATGAGGTAAAATATTAACTGTTGAACATGAGGTAAAATATATGCTTTTTTAGAAATTTTTCATGTTTACTTGGAGAGACAGAAAGCGTCCGAGAGAGAGAGAATGAAATTTTTTTTTTGTTAGTGCCCATGGAGTTGTTCATGAAATAAAAAGTTTCTAAAACTTAGCGAAAAAAACCTACTACGATCAACTGGTTTATCTGGGGCCGGGGAACCACCTATTCTAAGTTACCCATGAGGCAATTGTGATAGAGTAGGGGTAGGCAATAGCCACATTCGTTTTGCAGAAACTTTTAATGTCTTTAGACTTTTAAAAGATTTACAACAATATGAGAAGGTTCCCACATTTAAAACTTTATTCTGTAGACGTTTTTGCCTTATATTTTCACCTAGGATAACAAATTTGCGTGTTTGATAAAAGCAAACTTCTACAGAATACAATTTTGAATCGTTAGAGTCTTCTCATATTGTCGTAAAACCTTTTCAAACGAATATAGCTATTGCCCATCGATAAATGTGACATTTTTTTACATTTCTTTAGTGTTATAATTTGGATGTTTCAACAACATAAATAATTTTACTAGAAACTAATCTTATCAGTATCACGTAATTCAGTTAAATGGGTCTGTTTACACAATAGGTGTATTTTATATTCATTTGACTATATTTAAAGTCATAAATAGTCTAAAAGTCGTCTTCCTCTTTCAGAGTATTCTGAAGTTTTGATTGCAAATATTTTACCGCTTAGCTTTACAAAATTACCAATATGCGTACTTAGCATAATACAGACAAAACATGAATATTTAGACTGGAAACAATTATCATGGATGAGTGGCGCACAGTAAGTAAAGAGGAACACCTGCGCCCATCTTTAGGCTCTTCATGTCGGTTCCGCTTCGCGCGTACATGCACAAAGAATATGCGCAGTAAGAGCAGTAAACACTTCTCAGTGAGGAGTAAACACGTTGGTTAGTATGACGGCGTTTATTTCTCTTCTGAGTTGTTTAATCCTGGCGGGATATTCGTCTGCATTTTTTATAAGGTATTTTTTTGTTCACCAGCTACCCCCCCTTTTTAAAGCCACAGAGCGTCCCATGTCATAATAAGATAAGATAAGATATAGTTTATTGATAAAAATACACATACAAGTTATAATGTTACAGGCAAGAAATCTACAACTATTTTTATGTTGTTTACTATATTTATGTAATTATAGCAATTAGGTGGAGATTAACTATTTGCTGTTATGTTTATCTCCAAGCTTTAACGCCAAAATATGGTGAATAGTTTAGAAAGCTTTCCGTCCGCAATGTTTCCTAAACTGCGTGAAATGAAATTGAATTTGACCTTAAAGAAACTAAATCTGCAAAAATATTTAAACAAAGAGTAATCAATATTTATCTTGTGAATTATGAGAGGTTTAAATGAAAAAACCTAGCTGTATATTGTGTGAATAATTAAAAAAAAAACATCTAAAATAACTGAAACTTTATTAGCTTATTTCTGTTTATGTAACTACCATCATTAACACCCTGTATTTTAATTTACATAAAAATCCCTCTGATCTCACCCTGCCACAGATCACCTGTCAATCTCCTTCCTTCCAATCAACTCCTTTCCTATCCAAAACATATCTTGATATGTGTAACCAATTATATTCAGTATCGTTTATTAACTTCGGGCCAACCACTCAAAGCAACCAACCCTGGTTAGGCGGGTCCAAACTGCATAGTAAATTGTGATTGCTTATTTGTAATATCTCATGCTTTGTAGGTGAATAAAAATATGAATGAATGAATGATAAGTTGTTTGATACCAAAGATGATAAGAAATACTAAATGGCAGTAATATTATAGTAAAATTGATTTAAAACAAATATATATTTGTTTAACGAAATAAACTGCAAAAAGTCTTAAATAACTACTATAGTATCATGGAAACTATTCACCAACTGTCATGTTTCGTGGGACACCCTGTAAGATCTATATTACAAATGATAAGAAATAAAAATTTATTTACAAAAATGCAAAAAACAGTTCTTGGAAAAAAATAATATTAAAATAATGTTCTTTTAGATGCTTAACGCAGACAGATGGTCTTTGTGCAGTAGGAAGTAAGTTAAAGTAATAAAAAATAAACTTTTATTAAAATATTGTGTTTACCCCCTTGGAGCATGCATAAATAATTCTATGTAATATTCACCCCTTATTTCTTATTATATTTTTAAGTTTAATAATTGTTTAGATTTTATTGGACGACAGCGGAACAACTGCAATGTACGGCATTGCGCACAATGTTACACAAGCGATGATTGCGGCAGTTGTGAGACATGTACTAACAATCGATGCGACTACTACTGTAGTCGCAGTAATGGCGACTTTGAAAGCTTTTCAGATTTTACATAAACTCCACAATAGTTTTTGTTATGTCTCATATGTTGAGTTTTAAACTTTTCATGATTTACATCTTTCCTAAAAGTATGAGCAAGAAGCATGTACAGTTTGTTAGCAAAAGCAATTCAAAGTTAAAAATACCTTTGTTTCTATATCAAGCCCCGAATCGAACTATCTTTAGACTTGAACCCAAGTTGACCGATTGTTCAGGTCAAATCTTCCTTACTTTTTATTATTAAAGAAACATTACATTAAATCAAGTTAACACCAAGGAAAAAAATAATTGTCGTCAATGAATATTATAAATATAAATATAAATAAGACTGATAATTGTAATGGCATCAGTTCCATCAGAATATCCATGGGATATACAAAATGGTTACCTAACCCTAGGATCAACCGTGCTCCTTGACCTTGTCAGTCTGGCTGCATTCCTCTCTTCCCTGCTCCTTGCTGTGGAGTCGAATGAACTAACTACTAATCTCATGTTTCTCTTGTTCTTCCGTTTTTCCATGTTTCAATAAATCTTTGATTTTGCCTCAGTGCATCAAATATAAGGAATTAAAAAAAGCAGCATTTTGTGCTAAATCAAAAATACGACAATTTTTAAAAACATTTTATTTAAATATAAAAAAATTCTAATGCCTTGACATGAACTTCAGAGGACGCACAACTAGTTAAAAAATAACAGTAGGAGTGCACAACAATAAGTTTTAATTGGTTGTTCACTGGCTTAAAATAATCTAATGTTTCCTTTTTCAGAAAAAAATAATTTTATCTTTTTTCAATCTTATAGTTTTTATTATTTCTATATATCTTCTATATAATAAGACAAGACATTAATATATATATGTTGCCTATAGCCGGCCAAACGGCTGGACGGAATGACTGAAATTTTAGTAAGCACTCATGCGTGGTCGGGTGGTGTTAAAGGCTAAAAAAATTGAAATTTTTAAAAACATTTTATTTAAATATAAAAAAATTATTTTTTTTCCTACGAGCAACGCCGGGCTCTTCAGCTAGTATTATATATACTTTGCTTGTTTGTCTGCTTGTATCAAATAAAAGTCAAAAAGGATGAACCAATAAATTTTTGTGGGACCTCACATGACCCCAGGGAAGGTTTATGGTTGATTGAATTTTCAAAAATTTGCCTCTAACAAAATTCGATTTTTGAAACTTTGAAAACCGATATTTTTTTGATAAAATCCGCGAAATTATTTTTGTTTTTGTTTTACAATGTATACAAAATGAACAATGAACATGTTTACAATTGAAATAAAAGATGCCTAGTATTTTATTCTTAAGTTGTTATCATTTTATTTTTATATTGATTTTGTAGTCTGAATAGCTCAGTTTATACTTAGTTTGAACCTAAATAGATAAATTCACAAAAGCTGTCTGTTACTTCAGAAAAAATAATTCATTCACAAAATATATTTTGTTGACGCATAATCATAACAAAAGGTACAAATGCCATAAAAAAGTCTTGTTGAATCATATTTTGTTAAAAAGCATACTATTACAATTAATTTGACTGTAAAATTACAAATATGTCGATTGTATACTTCAATTGGCGAAGCATTTAAAAACTGGTATTATATCAGTGCTCTTTTTGTACTAATTTTAGTTTTGATGTTAGTGGGAGGCTGCCTGTGTCAATGTTACCAATGAAATAAACTTCATGATACAGAGATACAAAGATATCAAGGACCTTAAAACTGTATTGGCGTTTAGTATGAAAACTTTATTCATCAGTTTTCTTTTTGTACTAATCTTGATGATAGGGGGAGACTGTCTGTGTCTTTCTTACAATTGACATAAACAAAGTTTTGTTGACTTATGCTTGAAAGAGCAAGGACTTAAACTTAATGAGAAGATTTTTAAAAACTGGTTTATGAGTTTTCTCTTCATATTAGACTTGATGCTGGTGGGAGAATGCCTGTGTCATTGTAACAAAGGACATAAACAAAGTTTTGTTGACATTTGTCAAAGTCACCAAAGACATAGTTTTTTTTTATAATTGCAGGATAGCAGAGATTTCAAGGACCTAAATAAGACGATTTTGTAAAACTGGTTTATGATATCTCTCTATGACCTAATCTTGATGATGGTGGGGGGCATGTGTCTCATGTTACACCAGGTAAGGTTCTGGTTTGACCGGTAGATCTTCATCCTCTACAGGTTTAGGTTCTGGGAGACTACCTGGCGCATCCTTAAACAAGTCAAATTAAAGATTAAATTACAACCTGTTCAATTTATTTTTTAAAAGAAGATGTTGCAAGGTCCGTAACATATCTATACATACATATTACATATGGATGTAATCTCTGTTTGTTCGTTTGTTTTCATGCCCGATCATAACTCATGAACCCATAGACCAATTTGCCTCAAATTTAAATTGGGGAACTCGGGAGAACCCCGGAAATGTTCTTGGTTTTGAGATTTTGAATTGAGTGGGCCGAAAACATAGCTAAATCATAATTTAAGACCAAGTGCGGGTAAACGAATACCCTGGGTTCCCCAGCTAGTATTAAATAAAGGTAAGCCCCAATTTTCACTTGTTTCCTGGTTTTCAACATTAAGGATTTTTTGTTCTTTAAAAATCTTCAAAGTCTAATATGTGTTTATTGTGGACATGTTTGCCAATATCATGTTATGCAAAATATTCAATCTGTCGATAAAATTGTATGCTGCATGCATCTTGAGAAGTTTGTGCATGCTACCTATCAGTGTCTAGATATGTTACCTGCATTTGCACACTTGGTGCATGCTGCAGCATTTTGAGAAGTTTGTGCATGCTGACCACAAGAGTGTCTAGTTGTTCTCTTGTGTTACCATTTTCATGTTTGGTTATCACCTAAAAAAAATACAAATGTTTTGTATCCTTATTTACAGCTTGAGGAAAATTTAAAGTTTCAGGGAAATGTCGAGCATTTTATAAAAAATAATAGAATATTTGCACTTGTTTTTTCTTCTTCCATGAACAGAAACATTAAACCTATTCCTACTCACACAAGGACTTGAAAGAAAGAGAAGATCAAATTTATGCACAAGTTTGAGAAAAACAAATTTATCTGATTACACATTAGAAATTTCAAACAGCTTTGTTCATCTTAATAGCTCTTCAATAAAAGGAGTTAAAATTAAAAACATTATAACTTTAGTTTAAAATAAACTGAGCCCTTGAGAGCCCAAAATACCCTGAAATCCCCCCTCCAGGATATAATTAGATTTAGCTTCTACCTGAGGATGTAGTGAGAAGTCTGGTGCAAAATATTCAATATAATCTGATGGCGGAAGTTGGTTTGGTAAATCTTGATCTACACACAGACCAGTCTCATAGGCCCAGCATCTAATAGGTTATAATAACAATAACACCCAAACAACCTTAAGCCTCAGAAAAAGGATTGTGTCTCCGTGTTAGGAATGGTGACCCTATCCGTGATTAGCGGATACAGGATACATGAAGGTTATAGTGAGATGTCGTCTTCAAAACATTTAATATTTACTTCCAACATTACCAAAACATACCATGCCATGCAACCTATTCCATCCACTCCCAGTCTCAAATCTTTTGAAATTCATTACCAAGTCATGTAAAGCTGTAATATGCATTAATTAATAATAATATTCTATTCAATGATAAAAACAGCCATAGAGAAAACAATGCACATTTCTTCCATCCTCTCACACTCTAATAAATAATTGCCTATGCTTTGCTATATTTCTAAATGTATATTCATCATTCCCAACCCATTTTATCCCTTGCTATATTTCTAACATTCCCAACCCATTCTATAACTGGCTACATTTCTAACTGTATATCTGTACGAGATTGAACCTTCATTCTCCCATATTCTAGCTTGTAGTTACTATTGTGATTCGTATTATGTTGTTTTAAACTGAATGAAAAGAATGTTCTAGAGTTAAGTTACTTATAATTACCCCATGGTGAAATCCTCGAGAAGTAATTTGTAAGCTTATCTGACCAATTAGAGCCCATGCAGGCCAATTATATAAAGTTTCCCCCCAATTATGTCATCCCCAACCAATCAAAATCCAACTAGACTAATTATAAGCGCTTAGCTCTACTCTCCTGGGAGTATAAAAGGGGCTTGATTTCTCCCTAAGTCCAGTTCGTAGCAAAATCTTTGCACCCTCCCTGATTAGAGCTGCGTGTGATTCTCCCTATTCAGGTCTTGAAGTTTTCTTTATTATTTTTCGTTTTTGCTCCCCTTTCCTATTTTCAAGTTTTGCCGATTTATCTTAGTTCTTTCGATTGTACTTTTTACTCGGGAAGACTCGTATTCATGTATTTTTCTTGTACTTAGTTTTAAGGATTTGTTTATATATTAATTCAGGTTCAAAGAAATATAATAAATCTCTGTTCTTTCAACATGTTTATTTGAGACCAGAACTTTTAATTTAGATTTATTTCAAAAAAAGTAGAGAGTCACACAGTAGTCAATAAATAAATGAGAAGGATAGTTGAGCTGTTAATAAATCCCAACCCATTCTATAACTGGCTACATTTCTAACTGAATATCCACCCCTCCCAACCCATTCCATACCTTGCTACATTTCTAACTATATATCCACCCCTCCTAACCCATGCTATACCTTGCTACATTTCTAACTGTGTATCCACCTCCTCCAAGCACCATCAAAGGTAGATTGTATTTCTTCACCTGCTCAAGGCATCTATAAAAATCATTTCAAATCTTTTTGATAACGATATAAAATAAATTTTAAAAGTATTTTTAAGGGGCTTATGTGACCATCCATTTCATAAAAGGCATACCTTTACCTTATCAATATTCAATAATGTTTAAGATAAAGTGGTTTTCTGGTTTGAAAAGTGGTGTTTAATTCTGACAATTGCGTTTATTGTTGCTATAACAGAAATCCAAAAGCCCCTATATAGAGAAACCACAATTGATATAAGCAATGTTTAAGTTTGAAGGCACGGATATCTCATTTGTTTTTGATAATACAAAGCCCTTAGGGTACTGTTGTGCATCGGACAGGTTCTCTACAAATGGAGAATATCTTAAAATAAAGTCTACAGTCCCTTTAAATTAAATGTTGAAATTTCACCTTCCATGCCCTTTAATTGAGAGATTAAAGCAGCCAAGCCGGTCATTTGCCAGTGAATCTGCACCACACTGTAGTACTATGGCTTCCGGCCTACAAAAGTGAGAAAAAAATCATATTGTTTTTCTTCAGAATTACATTTATACATTATACAAAAAATGTATTTCACCGTTAGGTTTAAAATTTTGTTTGCTGCTTCAAAAAGCTTGAAAATTTCTTTTATTAGCTTATTAGTAAAAAAATATTTGCCATTCTTTTACATGTGGAAACCTTCTTTAAGGTCCTTTAACTTATGGCGCTTTATTCCTCTTTTCTCAGTAGTTGTAACTTCAATTTGAAATATTGATTATAAATCTTTGCTACAAATTCTGATTTTCTAACCCTCATATCTTAGAAACCCAATGTCGTAAACCTTATAGATTTCAAACTATGAACTCTGTTAGATCAAATAATCCAAGTTTGAAATACCAAAGGTTTACATTCATTAAGTTGAAAAGATATAGGGATTAGAAGAGGGGGGAGGGGAGAACACGAAACATTTTTCTGCATGCGAATTTGTAATTTTGATAAGACGTGTATATATTTTATAGATTTTACAAAATAACATGATTTGACGATTTGTATTTTACTGTACCTAAAGTATGAGATCACATTGTCCATGATTGGAGTAAAGACGAGCTCATAACTCAGATCATCCATTCCTTCTTTCAGAGGTACATTGATTGAGTAATACCTTCAATAGCATTATTTTATAGCTAGAACATAAGATCTTGTTTTTTCACAATAACTGTTTATAACACTGTTATTTTGGTTCGCAGTGTTATTAAGTGTTTAGGACAGAAATTTTCTCTTTATCGAGAACCTTCGAGATATAGAGAAAATTTAAGTCCAAGAGCCAAAATAATAGTGTTATAGGTAATTTTATTAAGCGTTTGTGTACTTGTATTATTTCAATGGCTAATTCTAAGTCAAATAGGCTTGTTCCCAGATTTTCTTAAAGAAATTTAAGAATATTTCTAACATAAATTTTTCCATTTTTGCAATAGCTTGGATCAAATTATATAATCTAAATCTCCCCTTTACAGAAAAATATACTGTTTAAAAACTGTGCAGCAGCCCTTAAAATAAGTGTTATAAATACTTATTTTAAAATCAGCTTACTTTCCATTGTCTGCTCCGATCTCAAACATATCCCCTGTGCCCGGGAAGAAATTATTTCCATATTTGTGGAAGGAAACGGTCATCACACGGTCAGATAGATAGAATGCTTCCTTAACAATTCAACTTGTTTGACATGTGACCACTAATGATACAAATGATACAAAGGAACTGAGCTCTTGCCACAAATTCGAATTTTCTCATCCCTCCATTGTGCTACTCGATGGTATAAACTTTTGACATTTTAAACCAAGACTTGCATATATAACAGATTTTAAAATCTGGAAAGGCATTGAGTTTTAAAGAGAGAGCACCCTGCAAGACTAGTGCAAACACTCGAAATCGGCCCTGGTTTAAGGAAGACGAAATTCACATATTTACTTAATCTTTTAAACTGTATTATACATTTAACAAACTTAAAATCATAAAGGAAAATTTAGACGAAGTTTAACTGTATACCATCATGTGGAAGTAAACTTTTATGTTTATATTTCTGTTGATAATCTGCAAAAGCAATTTAGAAGTATCTACAAGTTATTCGATATGGTGGTAAGCACTTGAACTAACGTCATGTGACTATTGATATTTTCACTTTGTTCATTTTGGCATTTTTTGAACATATTTTGTTTTCGAAATATATTCTACTTTCAGTGGCTCTTGCGATGTAATAATTATTGAAATTGGTACATTTGAAAGCATGTATGTTGGTAACATAAACAGTTAATGAAATATTCAATAGCTCAAACGACAATAGGTCGGGCGTTATGGCATTTTATAAAGTACATTTTTTCAGCATAGATTAAATGTCGTCTTTCTTAAACCAGTGCCGATCAGAGTTTGCAAAACTCGTGCATGGAGAAAGATATTAATAAATCAAGAGTTTGTGTCAAAAACTCAATTTTATAACGTAAATTGCTGTGGTAAACTTCTCTGATGGTTACCACAAAACAGTAAAAAAATGACATCTTATTTTTCTTTCAATCTTTGTTGTTAATAAGGAGTTTGTATAACATGTGACCCTTTTGACCCTCATGACATGCCAATTTGCAAAATTGGGTTAGAAATTTGCATATTTTCAATATTTTCTTGCCAATTTAAGGAAAACTGCCAATCAATTTTCAAATATGCCAATTTTCTATTTTTTACTGAAGTAAAAGATTTAAATTTGCCAACATGACTCGGAGCCGGAAATTTGAGGCTGGGAGGTGCCTTGACAATATTTTGTACAGTGTACTTCAAAATATCTGATGTGAGCTCGTTTTTCAGTGAGCTTCTCGTGTAATAATGTACCAAATAACTTGACTGTCTTAAAATCTATATGAATGTACTAATATGAATCTGTATTCTGTATTCTGTACTGTACATAAATTTGTTCACCTGTACTCCGTCGCCATGATGTATATCTATATCTATGTACAGCACTCTCTACAGCGGAATTAATAAGCACCAATCAAGGGAATAACATTAAGTTAAGAGGTATAACCTTTTTTATTATTTGCGAACAGTTTCTTCAAGTTTATACTGAAATTAAATCCTTCCTTATGATATTTCAGTAGTTCCAGGATTCCAATAACAATATCATTGATGAAACAGAATCCACTCGCCTCACCTCTTCACAGCATTAATCAAGTTTAAGAGACTGTAGACTATATTTCAAGTGACCGTACATACAAGGATGGCAATGTCCGATTTACAATATTTTGACATTTGACATGACAGTGCAAGTATATTGACATTTATGTTTTTCTAAATCTCCATTTTCTTCTTGCTGTTCGTGCATCATCCATAATGTTAGACTAATTTTGAAAAAAAAAAATGTGTGACACAATTTAATGAAATTTATACCTTTTAGCATGATGTAGACCACCAGACCAATTAATTGCAATATCACAGGATTTATTGTTTAACAAGGTAGCAGCCTGCAACGTGGCACCAGTGTACCTTCAATATTATAGTTTTTTTTTATGATGGATAGCATTATTTCTATGAAAAAGTTGCACCAACCCTATGTGTACTAAATAGGCAGAGTGGTATTTATGTTGTGTGCATTGCCCCGGAAAATTCCAAAACGGAGAGAGGGGGATTGAATTTTGTAGATCCAGAAAAATAATATCTGTGAGATGCCTGCGCGGCGTAGAGACCGGCAGCAGTGCTCAGCCCCCTAGCCTGTCCTAGCCGCAGAGCTCGGCCCAGAAAGTGTCATAACTTAACCTAACCCGTGGCCGCAGCGCTCGGCCCCCCTAGCCTGTCCTAGCCGCAGCGCTCGGCCCAGAAAGTGCCTTAACCTAACCTAACCCTAAAAAATACTAATTTAATTTTTTCTGGATCTACAAAATTCAATACCCCTTTCTCTGTTTTGGAATTTTCCGGGGTATTGCACACAACATAAATCCCCCTCTCCCTACTAAGTATACTGTATGTAAACATTCCAATATTTGTTTACAAACATTGAGCCTAGCCCTACTTCCACGTTACCATCAATTCATCTGAATATAGTTTATATCAGTTATATTGGAAACTTGTTGGATCTAGGATCTACTGACTCACCTGAGCATTTATGGTTTGTAGATTCATAAATTTGATATTTAGTTGCAAGGAATTTTTTATTTAAATCTTTCTCAATTGCTAATATTGTCTAAGAAAGGCTAATCTCCAAAATTTTAGAAGATATCCTAGACCTCCAGTTTAAGAGTTACTGCATCTATACCTAAACGTTCCAGTCTCCAACTAATGTGGAACATGCATGTTTTATCTAGCCAGAACTTATAGTTTATTAAGAAGTGAAAGAGATATCTTCATTTTTCTGTTTGAAAACTTTGTATTCTTTAGCCATGACTTTTTATAGAAACAATTTATGGAATTCTACAGTATCAGTGAGAGTTTCCAGGTATTTTTTATACTAACATATTTTTCCCAATCGCTGATAGTGTCATAAAGTTAGGACTGTGACCAAATCAATTTCTGAAAAATCTGTATTACTTACTTTGTGCAGAAATCATAGATGCCATCAAACACAGGACAATCCTCCCCCACATTGAAATGAGATAAACTCTTGGCAAATCCCTAGAAATAGGAAAATAGTAAATAAAACAATTTTAAAAACTATTTATCAATATATGTATGTAATATGTATAAGTTCAAAACGGTTCTAAAAATATACTTCTGTGAAATATTGAAGTATTCCAAAGGTCAATAAAGGAAAACCATGCGATTTGGCTCTTTGTGCTGGCATGCAAATTTAGATACGTGGCTAACATTTGCTATGAAGCATAACAAATATTTGGATCTGATGAGTTTGACATGAGACTTTTGCTTATGAAAAAGTCGCTGAAGCCCTCTAACCTGAATATTATGGGGTGTCACCCTGTGAAGGAATTCGACATATTCTTCTGAATGATATCTAGTCAGGTCAGCTTCACTGGCCTGGTACGGTTTATATACCTGGAGCAAGCAGATAATCAATTAATCAATCAATTATTCAATTTTTCAATATATTAATAAATCAAAGCAATCAATAAATAAACAAATCGATCAACTATCAAATCAAACAACAAATTAATTATTAAAACAATATGTAAGGTCTGGTCTATCTGTTACCTTCATATATTCATGTAGTTTATAGTTAAAGACGAGGGAATCTGTTACCTTCATATGTTCATGTAGTTTATAGTTAAAGACGAGGGAATCTGTTACCTTCATATGTTCATGTAGTTTAAAGTTGAACAAAAGGGAATCTGTTACTTTCATATGTTAATGTAGTTTATAGTTAAAGACAAGGGAATCTGTTACCTTCACGTGTTCATGTAGTTTATAGTTAAAGACGAGGGAATCTGTTACCTTCATGTGTTCATGTAGTTTATAGTTAAAGACAAGGGAATCTGTTACCTTCATATGTTCATGTAGTTTATAGTTAAAGACAAGGGAATCTGTTACCTTCATATGTTCATGTGGTTTATAGTTAAAGACGAGGGAATCTGTTACCTTCATATGTTCATGTAGTTTATAGTTAAAGACAAGGGAATCTGTTACCTTCATATGTTCATGTAGTTTATAGTTAAAGACGAGGGAATCTGTTACCTTCATATGTTCATGTAGTTTATAGTTAAAGACAAGGGAATCTGTTACCTTCATATGTTCATGTAGTTTAAAGTTAAACACAAGGGAATCTGTTACTTTCATATGTTAATGTAGTTTATAGTTAAAGACAGGGAATCTGTTACCTTCATATGTTCATGTAGTTTATAGTTAAAGACAAGGGAATCTGTTACTGCTAATCTGTGAGGTTTCATAGGATGCCCTGAACATAGGGGTTCAAAGATTTTCATTTAAAAACTTGATTTTTAGTCAAAGAATTGCCTAAACTCGTAATAGCAATTGTAAGCATATAGTTTAGAACTTTATAATCTAAATTCAATTTTTAATTCCAAAGAAAAATTATACAGATTTGATTCGTTTCAGTAAATGATAGAAAAGATTGTTTATATGATTTCTTTATTTTATTTTTATATTTGGCACTTTCAAATATATCTAGATTACACATTTGTTTCTATTACTTTTTATGCTGGTAATATAATCAGTAATATTATTTTTGAATACAAAGACAATATTTACTAATTAGTAGCTCTGAAGGTAAAATAAAGGAGAAAATTTGAATGGATATGTGATAGTCGGGAACTTTAGAATTGGATAACTTCAATCCCAAACCAATTACTTAATCTAAATATCCAATGTGGACACTTTTGATTTCGGCTTAATCCGCCATTTTCCCCCTTTTTTGGATATCCCTATCGGATTCCGACCAATATGATCGTTTTCTCATTAAAGGGCGGGCAACATTTCAGATTTCCAGGCTTCTGATTGGCTGTTCGGTTTCTACAATCGACACTCTGATTGGTTGCATTTTAGATACTTAGCTGGATACATACTTAAGATTAAATTAATCTTGAATTTAACAAAAAGAGGAGATCAAGCATTGATCTCGATATCCACAATTCTAAAGTTTTCAGATCAGTTCAGGTTATTAAATACAGAACAATCGAGTCTTGGTGTACCGTGTACGCTGTATAGTACACTGTACAGTGTACAGTACATAAACATGTTACCTGGACCGTAATGGTAATTCCCGATCTCTGCATCATAGAAGTATGCAACCTTCTCTTTACCCATTCTATCAACAATAATCTAATAATTAAATTTAAATCTACTTTTTTAAAGTGCTTGGAACCCATCTGATTTTGATGCGGATATTCTTTTTTTTTCGCTGATTTTTTTGCTAAACCTTGATGGACCTTTTAATAGATAAGGAATAAATTTAACTATCTCTCTTCTTCAACAGTTGAGATTTGGGGGTTGAGAGCAACTGATTTTTTTGTAGGTATTTGTTGATATTTTTGATGATGAAAACAAATGAAATGAGTTTTTTATGCCATAAGCATAAGTAATCCCTCTAACCTGCACCTTTATATACATATATTTACCTGATCTATGTATAACACCACCTGAGCTAAATTCCACAGTTTGAAGACATATAATCTAACACTAGCATTGTAATTTCTGAAAAAGGTTAATATAGTAAAAGTGCCTATCTACCTATTAATCTTTTTGTTTACAGAAAGTTTACTACTACATACAGTTTAAAACCTAGCTAGTAGACACAGTCAAAAGCTAAATCTTTAACCTCAGTTTATCAAAAATACTTGCTCACAAAACTGACTACATGGTTGTTTTATGTAGTGTCCAATAAAATCAATTTCAGATTTAACAAAAATACTGTTAACATCATTAAGGGACCCGGCGCACTATGTTCTCCAGGGGGGGAGGGGGGTAATTATTTTATAAAGCCTGCTGCAGGGCTGTTTAATATACCGTTAGAAAGCCGTTAAAAAATGCAATCCAAAGGTGCTATTTGTTTAGTCATATTTTGACACAGATGTCTCAAAAAAGTGAATACTGGAGGATTTTCAATTGCACAGGGTGTCTCAGAAAAAGTTCAGAAAAGCAAAACTTTGGGGGGGGGGGCGAAATTTTTTTTCAAGCTACATGACATTTTATATGTCATTGGAAATCTGTTGAAAAATGCAATCCAATGGCACTGCGTAAAATGTCCTATTCACATCACTACTTTTTTTAACTCATTTGAGGGAAAACGTCGATAATATCGTCCATTTCTAATTTTAAAAATTGTTCTATATTCTGCCACATTCCTTCATTTTCTCTGTTACATAAATACAACAGTCTCTTTTACAGAGAAAGTGCAATTTTAAAATAATGAATTTACTATGGAATGGAAAATATTAAATGGAAGATCATTAAGTAACTATATTTTCAATCCTTTTTCATTTATCCTAGACAAAAACATAACATTTTTCCCTCATTTCAAATTCATAAAATTTGTTTATTACAGTGCCTAATTTTTTCAGTCAACTTATTAATTAATTCTAAGAAATTTGTAGAAATCAAATCATTTAATATTAAACCTATCGTTGAATTTTGATAGAAGATAGAAAGATGAGACGATCGTAAAACTAGGCATAAAACAATAATAATAATATGTTTAATAAATTTAACTAATTAAAATGCAATGTATCATAAATATCACAGGTAGCTTAAAAATTAAAACGTTAACTTGCAAATTTTTGTTGACTTATCAATTCAATACTTGATTGTTTCTCTTCGTCTCCTATTAGGGGCTTATATATATATTTTGAACTCAAATCACCAAAAAAAAAACCTGTTTTTCTCACCTTTTTAGAAAAAGTTGCGAGAAGCAGCAAATTTTTAGGGTTTATTTGGGGTTGAATTAGAGAAAAAAGATTTGAGGGGAAAATATGTTGGTTAAAAATAATGAGAGTAAAAGAAAGAAAAAACTTGCCACTTAAATTGTAATTTTTAAATTATTTTTTAAAGATTTTATTATTATATAATATATATATCTCTGCCTGTTATGCTACTGTTAGGACTGTACTAGTGGTATAGGAACTAGTGGCCAGTTTGTAAAATCTCCCAGGATAGGTACAGCTCCTTGCAGGTATACACCTGAAACAATATATATCAAGGGCCTGTCTGTTTCATGGTTAATTGTGCCCAATAAGCGTCCAGACGACTTAATCGATTTTTTTGCAGAAATTGAAATTTCGATTAATTTTTTTTAAATTCACATTTTATGAAAACAGAAAATCAATTATAACTTGAATTTTAGTTTTTTATAATGAAGATGGAAAAAATGGTATCAAGTAAAGTACCATATTTTAAAAATTATGAAAAATGGAAAACTTTTTTTAACTTTAGCAAAACTGAAGCGTTTTTTAACTTGGTTTACCGTTTGTATTTTGTTCATGAACCTCTGAGGCTGAATGTAAGGTTTCCCAGCTCACATCTTCCCCATTCTCCAGATGAAAGGTTTTCAAAAGAAGTTCTCCTAGCGCCTTGTTTCCTCCTTCTCTCAGAAGCTTCTCCTGCCCCTTTATATCTCCTAGGAGCAGCGCAACCTCAAACTGAGCACTACGATCCTTTCTTACTCCTAGAATCCGTCCAAGCTTTACCAACTTGGAATACGCTCCTGTTATTAAATACAGAAACTTTAGTTTACCATAATTGCGACCTTTCTGATACGCACTTTCTGCGAGGGATAGATCCCCAACCATGAGCGCCATTTCTCCCACCTTATCCCAGTGTAGTGGTGTGTCTAGCCATAGTGCAGATGTGTACGCTAACTGAGGATTGTACAACTCCAAGGCGATAGAAAACCTGGCGGCAGGATCTTGAACGAAGTGTACAGATATATCTGACCTTCCACACTCCTGTAGCCAGCCCAGTATACTCTCCCCTAACAGTTTGCCAGTAGTAGCCAGGCTTTGAATGTCGTCTTCGTTTCCACGTAGAACCGCAGATTTAAACTGATATTCTATTGGATTAATTTCAATGAAATTAATTTCACACAATCTATTTAAATACGCAATCTGAAAATAAATCATGATTTTTATTAGAGTTGTAAATGTGATTTATAATTTTACAAGGAGTGGTTAAACAAGCTTGCTCAAACCACCGGTAATGAAATGAACCATAATCTCGGTGGTACAAGAGAAAAATTAAAAACAGTTGCAGTTGGTTCAACTACTTCTTTATCGTTTAAAAAATCAAAACTCAGAACAAAATAGTAGTATAAAGTAGTAATCTCTCTTTGTCTGTTCGATTATCACTTGGTAACACCTATACCGATTCGCCTTAAATTTTGATTGTGGAACTCGGGAGAACCACCGAAAAGTTCTTAGCTTTGCAATTGTTTTAAAACTATGAGTTTAATGAGTTGACGTTTATAGGGGGAAATCCAGACAAAGCTGGGTTCCCAAGCTAGTACTATTATATAACCTGTTTGTCCTGTACATGCGTGATGTACATTCCACTGGGTGCAGTACATATTAACCCATCATCACTTGGGCCCAGTAAATACCTAAACCAGAATATGTGTTAACTATCAACAGACAAACTATCCAAGTCAATTATTATTATATTATAAAGATTTATTCACACACAAAGATATAAATACATATATAAATGGTGTAATTTAAATTTGTTAAAATAAATTTTTGAAAATACAGGTTTCCAAAATATGCAAAATTATGCACAAATAGACGACATTGATTATTACTCATTACATAACATATTTGTCATTTCAATTATTACGTAATCATCGAATCCTTCAACATATAAATTATTCGTTCTTGTATTAAAAAGTTCTTGTAAAACCGGAACTTTCCATGTATGGTCCAATCCAATGGGACATCAAAATATTTCATTTGCTTCTTAACTACCATTTTACTAAGATCCGAAGGATTTACAGAATAATCATTTGCAATAGATAATAAATTTCTGCCAAGAACTGTGTTGAGGTCATTTTGACAAAAATTAGAAAGAAATCTAATGCAAAGCTTAGAACTTGCTTTAATAGTCTCATAGAAAGACACACATCTACTAGCTTACATAGTTTTTACATGTAAACATTGTGAAATACTTTCAATCAAGTACCTATGCGTATCTCTAGATACATTAACACGAATTCTAATAGCCGTATTTCATGCTGTATACAATTTTGAAACACATGTCAATTGGCAATATCGTAGGTTGTTTAAATATTTCAGGGCTCTAGAATAAACAGAATTTTAAATAAAATGCCGGTAAATTTTCTTGGTCGTTATTTAGTTTTCTGCTTTTTTACGCTAATTTTATTATCTTCAATTTAATGTCTTAACGTTTACGTGATAAAACAACACATTCACTTTTCTGCTATTTTACGCTAATTTATTCATCTTCAATTTAATATCTTAACATTTACGTGATAAAAAAACACATTCACTTTTCTGATATTTTATGCTCATTTACTCATCTTCAATTTAATGTTTTAACATTTACGTGATAAAACAACACATTCACTTTTCTGCTTTTTTACGATAATTTATTCATCGTCAATTTTATGTTTTAACATTTACGTATGTCTGAGAATTCAGTGATACATAAACTTTTATAAAATGTCTGAGAATTCAGTGATACATAAACCTTTATAAAATGTCTGAGAATTCAGTAATACATAAACCTTTATAAAATGACGTGAATTGGACATTAAATCGACAATACAAAAACTGTCATATGTAACGTCATGCAATCATTTGTGTGTAAATTTAGAAACAATTTGTATTTGTACTTCAAAAGATAAACAGAACAATTTGTATTTGTACTGCCAAAGATAAACAGAACAATTTGTATTTGTACTTCAAAAGATAAACAGAACAATCTGTGTTTAAACTGCCAAAGATAAACAGAACAATTTGTATCTGTACTGCCAAAGATGAACATACGCTTGCGGGCGGTTTGTTTAACACTACTTGTCTTGAAGTATTCATGTATGCACTAAAGTTTCCAATCGGAATTCCGTTGCGCAGAATTGCGCTCAGCTATTCTCGTACTGCGCGAAATTGTGCAGAATTGCGCGGTAATTAGAGGGTCCGTAATTGAGCGCAAAACTACGTGCGTTAAAACTTATTTTTCATGACTTGCTTTGGAATTTTTTAATTCCATTCAATGTAAGAAAAGTATCGAGTTTTTAGATTTAAATACCTTACCTAAAACGAGAAATCTCTTTCAACTGTTTATCACAGACCCGAACACACTAAAATCATTTCAATTGTCTTTAAGGAACTGAACCTCGCAACAATCTCTAATTTTCTAATCTCTATATCTTTGCTACCTCATGATGCAAACCTTAGATTTGGCAATATTCAGTTTGCAAAGCTATAAAGATTAGAAACGTAGATATCTAGGCGTCTAAATTTTTAGTTTGCTGTGGAAATAAATGGGGATTTTGGGCCTTAAATATGTTAATGAATTAAACTAAACAACCTAAATATATCGTTGATTGGTAAATTGATCTCTTAATGCATCAGGAGTATCAGAAAAAAAGATCTGAACGCCCAACAGGTTGGAGAACCCAGACCGCCATCGGGTGAGTGCACTCAATCACCCGGCCCCCCCCCCCCTGGACAAACGTAGATGAGGTACTACCAGGGGGCAGACATGGTTTCAAAGTTTCCATGATATTCTTTAGTTTTCAGCTTTGAAGGGAATAATCAATCTAATCAAAATGAAAATAAACAGCTTCAAGAAACAAAAACATAGATCTCTAAATCATACTTGATCAGACAAAGCTTTTAAGGGTACCGTTGCACACCGGACACTGTCATGGAAGGTCTTATGAAGTTATGTTTACAGTCCCTTTAATAATTAAAGCTTAAAAGTTCTGTTTCATAATCAAATAAATGAATCCAACCTTTGATGTGAGAATAGCAACCTTTGTCCCATCTTGGTTCCAGATAACCTGCTTAGGAACCTCGAGACCGAGGTTTATATTAGCCAGCCTCCTCCTCTGGTTGAGGGAGTAGAGGACAAGGTATCCTGTATCTCGGAGGACAACCTCTTGATCAACATATCCTGCAAAGTAAAAATCATCTAGAGTCAGAAATTATGGTGGTGTATTTTTCGACCTACGCAAATCCACTATACTCCACTTCTGACCTACGCCAAATCCGCTGTACTACACATCCGACCTACTAGTACGTGGTTTTACACCTGCTATATGGACTTGTGGCCGCAGCGCCGGCCCCCTAGCCTGTCCTAGCCGCGGCGCTCGGCCCCCTAGCCTGGCCTAGCAACAGCGCTCGGCCCAGAAATTGTCTTAATCTAACCAACTCTCAAATAATACAAAAATAAACAGCTGGGAAGGTCCAATATTGCAGTAGGTCGGAAATTTAGTAGGTCGGAAGTTCAGTAGGGGGGATGTTGCGTATAGACAATGTAACATTACCTTCCTGTGTTGCGAATCTAAGGCTAAAGCAATAATTGATCCTCAAATTTAAAAAGTGTCAACATTGGATATCGATATCACGCGTTTAAGATTGACAATCCGACCTCTGATTATTTGCAACAAACTCGAATCCTGCTATCAAAGTCAAAGTCAAAGTTTAAAATGTCAAAGGTTTCCACAATCAGGTTGCAAAGATATAGTGATTGAAAGAAAGTACTCAGTTCCTTTCAATTTGAAATGGGTCTGAGGCAATTTGCTGTTGTCGTGTTTTGTATGATTGAGTTTCACAGTCGTCTTCCTATGCCAGTGTCTCACTTATACTTGTATTAGAAAATCGGAAAAAATAAATTGTTGATAATTTCCGTTTTCATGCTGTAACTATTTTACATAGTTCAGTATAACGACGAGATTTAAGAATTTACCTTGAAATATTTTATCACACTTTGGAATATTCATCTCCGTCCTGGCGGCCCTGTTGACGAGAAACCCACGGGAGAACCCGGCAAAGTTTACGTCCTGGTTCTTCAAGTTCTTCACCACAACCCGGCCTGTGTTATCTATATGGGAAAACCTGCATTCAGAAGAAAATAACCATCGTTTCACAACAATAATTACTACTGGGGGTGATGATATGGGAAAAAATGAAAAATTGGACATTAAAGGGCAACTTTTTTATCTACTTTTTACCCCAATTTAGAGAATAAAACCCTACAAAAATTGTTTGCGCTCCGCGCAAGTATGTACAAATTCCGGAGGAAAAATTATTTTCAAAGGGGGGTTGGGGTGCAAGAAAAATTTTTTTTCGAGAAAATCAAAATTGGGAAATGTAATCCCGAAAAAATTGGCAAAATTTTCAATTCTAGCAACTTTTGCATGTTAATCAACATCAAAACTTGGTTGCCATGCCAAAATTGAATTAAAAACTTTGAATTTCAATGAAAGTGAAGGTAAAAATGTTTATGGCTTTCTTCAGAATTTTTGGGAATTGTGTAAAATTATTTTGTATTTAACAAAACAAAGATAAATCTGAAGTTTACGATCCACAATATAATTGATTAAATATTGCCCTCTAATTCAGTTTATTTTGGGGACCACTTTAAGAATGTTTTCCTCTTCCCTAGAGTTTGAAACCCAGAGTGCCGAGTCCCCTGGAGAACTCTTAATACTGGGAACTGCAGGACTCTTGGAACTCTTCAATCATAGTTATTAATAAACTCTTTAGTTGAATTTCTAGGCGTAACTAGAACATTTATGAAGATGGGAGGAATGTAATATTTACAAGGATTTGAAAAAGGGACTAAATACTGATGCATCCTGAAGAAACTGAAACTAAGAAAACGGTCTTGAGACCATACTAAATACTGATGCATCTTAAAGAAACTGAAACTAAGAAAACGGTCTTGAAACCATACTAAATACTGATGCATCTTGAAGAAACTGAAACTAAGAAAAAAGATTCCCTTAAAACTATCTAATCCTTAATGTGGAATATAACGTGTTTTTCTAACTAGGAAAGGTGTTAGATGAAATTCTGTTAAATTCTCCATTGTTTCCGAAGAAACTAGCTGGTCACACTTGAAAAGAACCCATGTAAAATTAAAATAAATAATTTTCAAAAACAAAAACATGGATATTTCTTATCTAATTCAGTTTTGATCAAACAAAGCTTTTAAGGGTACAGGACAAGCAGCCAGTGCTTAGGATCCATTCAATTTTGATGCGGATCCGGATCCTGGATCAGCACTGGAAAAAAATGGATCCGGATCCAGGTCATTTCTTAAAGATTTACTGAATTTCTTAAACAAAAAATAATTTTTAAATTTTTTGTTTAATATTTTTCGCTTATTTGTATCCTAAAATTTGATGAACCATTCAGAAATGAGGAAATTGTTATAATCTCTCTTTTTTTCAGAAGTTACAGATTTTGGTTTTAGGAGTAAAAAGTTTTTTTTTGCAGTTTTTGGTTGATATTTTACCCCGTGGATCCGGATCCAGGAAGCCAAAATATTCCGGATCCGGATCCTAAGCACTGCATGCAGCACTTTCAATGAAGGGTCCACTTGAAATACTTTTTATCATAATAGTTTCTTTAAAAGTTATTAAAAAAGGGGAAATCTATAAATCATAAAAAACGTAATCTCTGTATCGAATGTCCTTTTTCCTTTTAGATTAGTTTTTAAATGGCAATTTTAACCTTTTGTTTTGAATGTAAACAATATGTGATACAGTGAATCCCAGATATATGAATACATAGCAAGAGTTTTTATAATGTCGTATTACATATTTAAGATGAAATGCCGCGTAAAGATAAGTTTAATATTGATATATCAATATGCATTCATATTTCATTTACCTTGAATTAAAAATAAAAAGAAGTTTCTTTAGAAATATCAAAAATCTTATGACGGTCTATGTATTCATATATCTGGGATTCACTGTAGCTAAAGTTGTGTAGGTCCATATTAATACCAACTGACTAGGCAACGGCGCTATCTTACATCACAAAGGGACTGGAAGCGTAATTTCAAGTATCACTCCATGCAAAGATGACAATGCCCGACTAAAATCGATTCCCTTAAAAGCTTTGTCTGATCATGAATGAATTTTTTATAAATGTTCACAATTTCTTTAACTGACAATTTTCAATTATGAGTTCTCTACAATACTAACTTCATTTCTGCTACAGGAAAACATATAAAAATGATCAGAGTTAAACACTTTTAAACAGTAAAACGACAACATCCTTCACATTTTTAATCAAGTTCAGGTTTCAAGGGTACTGTTGTGAATCAGGCATTGCCAAGCAATTGCATGGAGGATCACTTGAAATTACGCTGGGAGTCCCTTCATGTTCAAACTAGTTTTGTTTATTATATATCCCTGACGTGGAGTAGTTTCCTGTATGAAGTAGAGCTGGAAGGAGGAAAGGTTAAACCTGGTGTAGTTAACCAGCACAGCGTGCTCCCCAGGGTTGTAACTTGCACTCTGCACACGCTGGTTTCGAACCTCTAAACCAGAAAATAATCAATCAATCAATCAGCTTCCTCCTCTCGCAGTTCTTCTAGTCCCCCCCCCCCCCTTCCCGGCTCCGCCTCTAGTTCTAGATAAAAGCAACCCCCCGTGATTATAATATTCCAGGTTAAATTAAGATTTATTAAGTGTTCATATCAAATGATCTAAAACCTTCTCTTCAATGTGCGTCAGCTGCTCAAAAGGCAAACCAGCTCATAGGTAGAATGTCCAGGTCCTTCTCCCTACAGAGACAAGCATACTTGGATCAGGCTTTACAAAGTATATGTACGACCTCTTCTAGAGTACTGTGTTCAGGCTTGGTCATCTTGGCTTAAATCAGATATTGAGCTGCTTGAGAGTGTTCAAAAACGAGTTTTAAAAATGACTTCAGGCCTCCATAGTACCTCATACCTTGATCAATTAAAGGAGGTCAACTTGACCACCTTAGATGTAAGAAGAATAAGAGGGGATTTAATCCAGACTTGGAAGATTCTCCATAAACATGATAATGTAAAAGAAGGTACATGATTTACAAGATTTTCAACATGAAATATGAACCTCAACTCAAAACAGTGCAATCTAGATATTAGGAGAAACTTCTTCAGCTTGAGAGTTATTAAAACATGGAACAGTTTGCCAATAGTCATTAAAAATGCCACCTCATTGATTAGTTTTAAGAATATGTATGACAAACATATTTCTTCAATGTGATAAGTGTCAGGGGCGCCGAGATCCCTAGTTGAAGGTGTCAGGAGCGCCAAGATCCCTGGTTTAACTTAATGCACTATCAGTAGAAACAAAAAAGATATATTGACTCGCTGAAAATGTCACAAAAAACTTTCCAGTAATCCAGTAATCCAGATAAACAGATAGTCAGAGTAGGTTGATCCTTTCCAGAAGAAGAGTAAATCAAAAGTTAATCCAATATCACAACACGTTGGCACTTCAAAATTACAAAATATAATCAACCACATACAGTTACATATTTATTTAACCACTTTGGTCCCTTCTTAGTATTAATAATAAAAATAATAATCGTGGTCAACCCTTAACATGTAGTTATCAGGCTTCAGCTACCGTCTATTTAAGCCATAAATCAGTTAACTAAGCACAATTCAAGCACAAATTACTCATTGAATAAACTACTTGGGCATCTTTAAAAATTCAATCCAGCCCAATTTTAAAATTAGTAACTACAATAACTTAGGCACAAAATTCAAAACTCAAGCTAACTAAGCACAACTAAATCTAGAACTCAATAAATCAATCAATTTTAATGATCTATCAATTTTTTAGAGAAATTAAATAAAATCAATGAGCAACTAGAAATATTTTGGGAATTAGAAACTACTAGCTTAAGTGTCCTGTCTTGCCCGTAAACATTTTTTTTTTGATTTTGAAAAAAAAAATTATTTTTGAAAAATATAGATTTTTGAAAATATAGAGATAAATAAAAATAAATAAAAATGTATCTGTTACCTAGAATTTTGAAAATATAGAGATAAATAAAATAGATAAAATGTATCTGTTACCTAGAATTTTGAAAATATAAAGATAAATAAAAATGTTTCCGTTACCTAGAATTTTGAAAATATAGAGATAAATTAAATAAATAAAATGTATCTGTTACCTAGAATTTTGAAAATATAAAGATAAATAAAAATGTTTCCGTTACCTAGAATTTTGAAAATATAGAGATAAATTAAATAAATAAAATGTATCTGTTACCTAGAATTTTGAAAATAGAGAGATAAATAATTATAAATAAAATGTATCTGTTACCTAGAATTTTGAAAATATAGAGATATATAAAATGTTTCCGTTACCTAAAATTTTGAAAAGTTTTGTTTCCTTTTTCCTCTCAGTATTTACATGAGTCAGCCAATTCTCCCTAAATACATTTTTTTAAATTGTTAAAGAAGGGATTATTCACAAAATTTGAAGTGTCGTTTTATTTAATCCGGCTAAACAGATCAGGTTCATATTGTTTGTGGGACCTCACATCAACCCAAGAAAAGTTTATAGATGGTCAAAATTAAAGAAAAAGAATTCAGAAATTTGTCAAAATCCACGGGAAAAAATCGATAAATCCGTAAATTTTTTTTCTATTTGAAAACTGATATTTAGCACCTAGAATGTCAGAGCTCTTCTAAAAATCAACTTATAAATTTCTATAGAAAATTGCCCAGTTAACTTAGAGATAAGGTTTAAAAGTTGGAAAGTAAATTAATACTGTAAGCCACTAGTCACGTAAAATTAATAAGTTTAACAAAAATTACAAAATGACCACTCTTCTTAAAAGCTTTCAACTTGTTGCACGACCCCTCTTTTCCTCACCTATATATACTTAACTTTGTATGTCTATCCGTGTATTTCCAATAAACGTCAATACGGCTGAACACATCGTGTCCAATTTTTTTGTGGGACCTCAAATGACCCAAAAGAGAAAGTTTATGAATAGTCAAAATAACACATGGTTAAAAATTTTTAATTTTTAATCAACGAGAAAAAAATTGGCTATTTCGTCAAATTTTGTTCTATTATTGTTTAATAATATAAGAAGAGAAAAGTCACAGATAGAGCAACACTTAGAAGTTAAAGTAGAAGATGGAAGAGAAATGCCCTGGAAACCTACACGGTGTCCCACATCATATTATATCGTCAATCAGTCTAAATTACGATTTTCGGAAGTAATCATAAAATTTAAGAAGAATGAATCATGTTCAAAAATAGAATAAGGCTAATTTCATAATTTTCTTGCGGAAAATACTAGTTTTTTCGAGTATTACTGATTTATTTTGGCGTTAAAGCTTGGAGATAATCTAATATGATATGGGACGCTCTGTAGTTCAACACAATTAATAGATCACCTGATAAGGTATAGATGATGTTTGTAAACAGTATGAACAGGTCTGTGTTTGTACAGTTTTATCATTGCTAAACCGTTTCCATGAACCAACCCCATTAGATTACAGTTGGGGGCTGCAACCAAACTAAAATAAAAAAACTGAGATAGGAACTTTTGTATTTTAAATCTGATCATTACACTTCATGTCAACTGAACTGAAGTCAGTCTAGTAGGTCTTTGAACCAAAGTGGTTTTGCCAGATATTCTCAGAAGTAAACTTAAATCCTTCCGTTTAAAAGTTCACATTGTGGATATCTAGTTCAGTTGATGTCGCTTAGCGCTATCCAAACAAAAGTGTTGGCTTAAGTTCTCAAAAAAAACTTAGCTAACAGTTCTCAACCAAAGAAACCAAACTAAACCAATACAATCAGTTCTCAAACAAAGAAACCAAACTTAACAAATACAATCAGTTCTCAAACAAAGAAACCAAACTAAACAAATACAATCAGTTCTCAAACAAGGAAACCAAACTAAACAAATACAATCAGTTCTCAAACAAAGAAACCAAACTAAACAAATAAAATCAGTTCTCAAACAAAGAAACCAAACTAAACAAATACAATCAGTTCTTAAACAAAGAAACCAAACTAAACAAATACAATCAGTTCTCAAACAAAGAAACCAAACTAAACAAATAAGGAAACAAACATTTATCAAGAGGTATAAAGGAAAATGCTTCATTATTATTAACAACAAAATCTTGAATTTTTTTAATTTATATTTTCTAAATTCTTTTTCATGACATGATATTATACCTGGCAGGCTGAGTGTTTAGAGGAAAAGTGTCCAATGTAATTCCAGTTCTTAAACTCCAAACCTAAAAACACAATTTTCAGGAAAAATTCATTTTTTTGCTAACTTACAGACGCAAGCCACCAGCCAACATCAAGGGACCCCCCTGAAATGATTTTCGAACATCTGACGGAAAAAATGAAAAATTGGACATCAAAGGCAAATTCTTCCATTCATCTTCACACTTGTTACATCAAATTCAGATAGCTAACCCTACCGAAAAAGAAAAAAATCTAAAGAACTCACCTCAGTATTATATATAAGGTTATCAATTTAAGCTATAATTATTACCAGATATTGCTAACGAAGGGCCAATGTAAAACCTATGATTTGACCTCCATTTTGAAGATAACTTAGAAATCCTCTGAGATGAAATCCAAAGACCCCCACCCCCTCTCCTTGGAAGTACAGGGTGTCCCAGGAAACATGACAGTATGCAGGACGACTTGAATGTCGTCTTGATTTTTGATATAATTTGCTGCGTTTATTTGTCAACCTAATTTTAGAAGTAAATTTCTAGAGATAAAGGGGGGGGGGAGACTGATTGATCACCTTTAAAGTTTTATCTGCTGAAACTGTGACCAAACTTAATGTTTCCATATCCTCAAAACCTAAACAGTTCCCTTGAGAATTAAGTCTTTGCCACAAACTAAAATTACTTAATCCCAATATCTTTGCAACCTGATAGTGTAAACCTAAGATGTTTCCCACTTAAATTAATTGATCTAACAGAATTCATAGTTTAAAATATCTTAGGTCTACGACATTGGGTTAAAAAGCTTTAGGGATTAAAAAGCAGAGTTTGTGGCAATGACTCAACTTCTTTAAAATAAAAATTTTAAAAAAACATGAGATATATATATTATATAATATTTAAAACATGAGATATATATATTATATAATATTTAAAGCTAAAATAGTTTAGCACACGAGGCTGCATATTTTGTTTGATATGAAATTGACAATAAAATTTATCAACAAATTGTTTTTTTTTCTATTTTCATAATTTTAAGCGACTAGTAATTAATATATATCTACATGTTTTTAGTGCATTTTTCCCATATTAATCTTTTCTGTTCACTCTGTTCTCTTATTCACTTTATTTAACTGTTTTGCATTATCTGAGAAAACCCCAGAACTAATATTTCCAAAATGTCCAACTAGAGTTCTTACTTCCCTACTTGTCTCAGTGTTGTATACACGCACCACCTTTCAATCAATCAATCAATCAATCAATCAATCAATCAATCAATCAATCAACCAATCAATCAACCAACCAACCAATCAATTAACAAAATTTAGATTTAAAGTCTTTTTTAACATGCAAAAAGAAGGGTTATGGTAAAAAGGGTTTGCTACATTTTTCGTAAAAAAAGTGGGAAATAAATTTGATATTTTATTTAAAAATAGAAATAATTCAAACTAGAATTCAAGGACGACAACTGACTACCATACAATCTGAAGGAATAGATTTTAAACAATTTTGATGACCAAATATTTTCAGGTTTGATTGATGGATTGATATTTTCCTTTCCATCCGCAGCGCAGAGAAATGGCAGAGCCTGATGTATCTTTACCCACTGTACACCAGAACTAAATCCTAGAATAAACATATTTACAAGGCCCGTGGAATCTTTAAAAAATCAAATAAAAAGATTAAGAAAAAGAAATATTTTGATTTTTGAAAAATAATTCTAATTTTTTAAATCATATTTTACCGTGTTACCCCCAGGGTACCGGGTACCCATGAGTTTTTTTCAAAAATTGTAAAGCAACAACTTTTACCAGTAATTTAAGAATCAACTTATTTTGTAAAATGAGTTCGTGTCTCAACAATTGCTGTGTTCAAATGAACACATCAAATTATAACTTGAGTCAAACAGTTGTCTTCCTATTCCCAAGTTATATGGGTCCCACCTTGTCCATAAAATGTGTGGTTATACATACAAGGATATTGGATTAGATTTTGAGGCAAAAAATGTTCCAAATTTAATAAAATAATGTTTTCAATTTAACTAATCGTATAATGCACCCCTTTTTCTAGTTATTTGAAAGAATAATGATATTACTGAATTTGAAGGCAGCATTTTTCACTTTTTTATGCTTTTAACTAATTCTGTATTTCTTGCAAGAATACAGAATATGTGTGGTTCTGTAAATATTAACCCCCTCCCTCTCATTAAAAGGGTACATTTAATTTGAATTTTTTGCTTTCATAAGAGGCTGTTTGTAAATCATGAAAAGAAACAATATGGTGAATCCCAGATACATGAATACATAGCAACGGTTTTTTTTAAATTTTGTATTACATATTTAAGATGAAATGCCTCGGAAACATTAGTTTAATATAGCCCTGAAATATGAATGCAATTGTTTTATTAATATTAACCTCATTTTTACGCGGCATTTCATCTTAAATATGTAATACGACATTATAAAAAACTCTTGCAATGTATTCATGTATCTGGGATTCACTGTATATGAAAAAGCAAGTGAAAAATTAATAATGATACCAAACATAAGTATATTGAAAATAATTATTTGTTAACAAGTTCACTTCTTCAATAGCCAAATTTGTGTTTTATTTTCAGAAAAAAAATGCGCTCCGCGCCTGACAATATTGTTTTTATTTTCTGAATTTTTCTTAATCTCGCCCGCACCCCCGGCTGAAATCCTGAGTAATGGGGGGGGGAGGGGTTAATTTAACAAACCTTCGAAAATATATGAGCAGACCACGTCCATGTCACCGAATAGATGCGTCAGTGTACTGAACTCTCCCCTAAAATAGGAAATTAGTTTCAGGGGGAAATATTTATTGAAAAATATTAACGCTTCCCCTTTAATCTTCAAACCCCCCATATAATTTTCAAACCCCCCCCCCCACACAAAAAAAAATATTGGAAACAGCATTTGAAGAGACTGAAGACTTGATTTAGAAAGATGTCAGATTCACAACAATATCCAATAAACCTTTTGTCCGACTAATAATAATAAAATATAATCATTCTCTGGCTTGAGGAGTATTCAATTCTTACAATTTCCTTAATATTGTTTCTGGAATAAAAATACACAGTCAGTTTATGTAGAAATACACAAGTCAGTTTATGTAGAAATACACAGTCAGTTCATGTAGAAATACACAGTCAGTTTATGTAGAAATACACAGTCAGTTTATGTAGAAATGCACAGTCAGTTTATGTAGAAATACACAAGTCAGTTTATGTAGAAATACACAAGTCAGTTTATGTAGAAATACACAAGTCAGTTTATGTAGAAATACACAATCAGTTCATGTAGAAATACACAGTCAGTTTATGTAGAAATACACAGTCAGTTTATGTAGAAAAGCACAGTCAGTTTATGTAGAAATACACAAGTCAGTTTATGTAGAAATACACAAGTCAGTTTATGTAGAAATACACACAAGTCAGTTTATGTAGAAACACAATCGAATAAACAACTTTCAAAAAGAAGATGATTGATGTCTGTCTCACGTATGCTAAATCAGACAAAGCTTTTAAGGGTACAGTCCAATAAGCTACGCTGTGCTTAGGATTCATTTAATTTTGTCATGAACTTCTCTTTAAGATTTACTAATTTTCTGAACATAAGAAGAATTATCAAATTATTTTTCATCTTCTTTTTGTTGTTTTTATGCTGAAACTTAAACCATTTAGGGATAAGGACATTAGTTTTTAACAGTTCAGAGGCTGAATTTAAAGAATTTGAGCGGCGGCTTCAATTTGAGACGCGACTCAAATATGTTTGGTTTCACTTAAAATTGTATTCAATGTTTCAAGATTGAAACAGGCGCTCAATTGAAACCGTTTTTTGGCAGATTTGAGACGCGGCTCAAATTCATTAAATTCAGACTCTGATTTAGGTTTTAAAAGAAAATATTTTTGGTTGATATTTTGCCACTTGGATCCAGTAGCTAAGCACTGAAGCAAAGCATAAAACTTTCTAGAGATCTTTTTCCCGGTTGTATTCACTTTAGATAAAATTACTGAAGTCATTTTCTTCGAGAAGAAAATAATGCCTCTTTTAGTCTATTTACAATAAAAAAGATAATATTTAAATAACAAAATTAGTTCCTTTTTGTACCTAAATAGAGTTGGCTGTCTTGTCC